AGAAGCCCCGCCCACTGTGGCGGAAAGGCCTATGGCGTTTCAAGGGGCGGGGCGTGGAGGAGATTGACGTGGTGGAGTGCAGGGTCTCTTCTGCGCATGCTCGATTTGTTCTCTCAAACTGTATCTACTCTAGACTAGGCATAAGCTAGCTTGGGCCCTCCAGGTGTTTTGGACTTCAACTCCCAGCATTCCTAACAGCCTCAGGCCCTTTCCTTTTCCCCCTCAGCCGCTTAAGCTGAGGGCCCAAAACACCTGGAGGGCCCAAGCTAGCCTATACCTGGTCTACACATTGTAGAATGTGTTATCCTAGCTCAGTGATATGATATCTGCCAGCACGCCAACGACTTAAATCTAGACATAGTTTTCTAAGATCTACAGAGACACTCGCTGGAACACCTCAGCAAGCGAGAGTCCAAAAGTGGCAGGCTCAAACCCAGCACCTCAACCAATGGCTGATACCAAATGAGAGACTCTTCCTGGGCACACAGAAGACTGGGCGACTTGGAAGGCACTGAACAGACTGCGCTCTGGCACCACGAGATGCAGAGCCAACCTTCAGAAATGGGGCTACAAAGTGGAATCCTCGACATGCGAGTGTGGAGAAGAGCAAACCACTGACCACCTGCTGCAATGCAACCTGAGCCCTGCCACATGCACCATGGAGGACCTTCTTGCAGCAACACCAGAAGCACTCCAAGTGGCCAGATACTGGTCAAAGGACATTTAATCAACTACCAAACTCACAATTTTCGTATTTTGTCTGTTTGTTTGCTTTGTTCTGTTAGAAATGTAATATATAATGGACTGGTTGCTCTGACACGACAAATAAATAAATAGCGATATGGGATCCTGGGAGTTGTTAGCCTTCTCTACCAAACTACATATCCCACCTCTTCCAGCCGTCTCCAGCCAATCCCTCTCCAATGCCAATCTTCATCGCTATGATACTTCACCTTGTTGATGGGAAGCTTCCCACCGGAGTGGAAATCATCTATCAGACAGATGGCAAGCTATTTAACCTCAGCCAAAACCAAGGTTACAACAACATCTGTTATAGAACTCCGGTATGCTGATGACAACGTCATCTGTGCTCATTGAGAAGAAGACCTACAAGCAACTCTAAACACTTTTGCAGAATTATACAAGAAGCTCAGCCTGACCAAGATTACAACAACATCTGTTATAGAATTCCAGTATGCTGATGACAACATTGTCTGTGCGCATTCAGAAGAAGACCTACAAGCCACTCTAAACACTTTTGCAGAATTATACAAGAAGCTCAGCCTGACCAAGATTACAACAACATCTGTTATAGAATTCCAGTATGCTGATGACAACATTGTCTGTGCGCATTCAGAAGAAGACCTACAAGCCACTCTAAACACTTTTGCAGAATTATACAAGAAGCTCAGCCTGACCAAGATTACAACAACATCTGTTATAGAACTCCAGTATGCTGATGACAACGTCGTCTGTGCGCATTCAGAAGAAGATCTACACTCTAAACACTTTTGCAGAATTATACAAGAAGCTCGGGCTCTCATTAAACATCAAGAAAACCAAAGTGCTGTTCCAGTAGTCACCAGCCAATCCCTCTGAAATGCCAGGAATACAGAGTAATGGTGTAATATTAGAAAATGTTGACCATTTCTGCTACCTTGGCAGCCACCGTTCCACAAAAGTCAACATTGACACTGAAATTCAACACCGCCTGAGCTCTGCGAGTACAGCTTTTTTCCGAATGAAACACAGAGTGTTTGAGGACTGGTACATCCTTAGGGAGACCAAGGTTCTTGTTTATAAAGCTATTGTCCTCCCAACCCTGCTATACGCCTGCGAGACGTGGACTGACTACAGATGTCACATGTAATTCCTGGAACGATTCCATCAGCGCTGTCTCCGGAAAAGCCTGCAAATCTCTTGGGTAGACAAGCGGACAAATGTCAGCGTGCTGGAGGAAGCGAAGACCGCCAGCATTGAAGCGATGGTCCTTCGCCATCAACTCCACTGGACTGGCCACGTTGTCTGGATGCCCGACCACCGTCTCCCAAAGCAGTTGCTCTACTCTGAACTCAGGAATGGAAAACGGAATGTTGGAGGACAGGAAAAGAGACCTAAAGATGCGCTCAAAGCCAACATTAAAAACTGTGGCATGGACACTGAGAACTGGGAAGCCCTGGCCCTTGAGCGCTCCAGCTGGAGGTCAGCTGTGACCAGCAGTGCTGCAGAATTTGAAGAGTCATGAATGGAGGGCAAAAGAGAGAAACGTGCCAAGAGGAAGGCGCGGCAAGCCAACCCCAACAGAGACCGCCTTCCACATGGAAATCAATGCCCTCACTGCGGGACAAGACGCTGATCAAGAATAGGGCTCCACAGTCACCTATGGACCCACCACTAGTACACTGATTTTGAAAAACTAACTCAAAAACCGCTGGATGAATTGCTGCCGAATTTGGGTAAAAAGACACCTACTAACCCAAGGAGGGACCATCACTCAAAAAAATTGATTTTGTCTTTTGGGAGTCATAGTGGCTGGGATTTATTGTTCACCTACAATCAAAGAGCATTCTGAACCCCACCAACGACGGAATTGAACCAAACTTGGCACACAGGGTTCCCATGACCAACAGAAAACACTAGAACGGTTTGGTGGACATTGATCTTGAGTTTTGGAGTTGTGGTTCACCTACATCCAGAGACCACTGTGGACTCAAACAATGATGGATCTGGACCAAATTTGGCATGAATACTCAATATGCCCAAATGTGAACACTGGTGGAATTTGGGGGAAATAGACCTTGACATTTGGGAGTTGTAGTTACTGGGATTTATAGTTCACCTACAATCAAACCCCAGCATAGAATTGGGTCAAACTTCCCACACAGAACCCCCATGACCAACAGAAAATACTATGTTTTCTGGGTTTTTTTCGTGACCCTTCTGACACCCCCTCACAACCCCCTCCCACGGGGCCCAATGCCCAGTTGAAAAATGTTACCTTAAGGCCATCCGATCCAACTCCTTTCACCAGGTCAAGAAAACATAATCAAAGACAGAGCCATCCAGCCATAGATATGTATAGATACATATGATTCACACACACACACATGTATATGACAGATATAGTATCATAGATCTGAAAGGGCCCCTAAAGAAGGACAATTATATGTTGCACGTTCCAGAGTAGGCAAACCAGACAATCTCTACATCAACACTGACACAGAAACAACAAGAAATACTGTTTATCCACAAGCATAAAGAAGTTACATATATTAGAAACCAACACTTTCTCATTTACTTTATTTTCTAGATCACCAGATTGGGCCACAGTAACGTGTGACAGGGGACAGCTAGTAACGTGTGACAGGGGACAGCTAGTAACCTATAAAGGAGTGACCTCCAATGAACTTTGTCAGATCTTGCAAACTTTGATTGAATCAATAGTGCCGCCTTCCTCTTTTCCTTCTCTCTTCTGTCAATCATTGTTGTCTTTTCACCATATTACTCAGTTTTGGCTTCTGGTGATTGTTGACACTTGATTTACTTGTTTTTCAACTATTGATTCATTTACTTCATTTCTACCCCACCTTTCTCAACCCAAGAGGGGACTCAAGGCGGCTTACAAGTCAGGCAAAAATTAAATGCCACACAGGTAAACAACAAAACACACTTCATAAAAATATACACAATCTAAGCAAATGTGAGTAGATCAATAGGTACCACTTCGGCGAGAAGGTAACTGCACTCCATGCAGTCACGCTGGCCACATGACCTGGGAGGCATCTCCAGACAACGCTGGCTCTTCAGCTTAGAAATGGAGATGAACACCAATCTTCAGAGTCAGACACAACTGGACTTAATGTCAGGGAAAACCTTTACATTTATTTCAAGGATATAAACAATTAAAAATCCTCATGTTATCTATAGAATTGACTCGCCCTTTTATAATAATAATAATAATAATAATAATAATTATTATTATTATTATTATTATTATTATTATTATTATTATTATTTATTTCTATCCTGCCCTATCTCCCCAATGGTAGACTCAGGGCAGTTCACAACATACAGTGGCAACCATTCAATGCCGTAAAGTGTGACCAAAAAGGTAAACAAACCATAACTCAACAACATATTAGACATCAACCTCAGACAATAGTGAAACATTGCAACAAATGAGGTGTCACACAACTAAAAATTCACATTTTTTTTCACTGTCCAGCTTTCAACTTCCTATCAGTCKTTGCTGTCTTTTGCCAGGTTTKCTGGGCTGTTATTTATTTATTTATCGTGTCAGCAGCAACCAGACATTTGTATTACATTTTTAACAAAAACAAACAGACAGACAGACAGACAGACAGACAAAACACAAAGTTTGCAAGCTTTGTAGTTGTTTAAATGTCCTTTGACCAGTAGCTGGCCACTTGGAGTGCCTCTGGTATTGCCGCAAGGAGGTCCTCCATTATGCGAGTGTGGAGAAGAGCAAACTACAGACCACCTGCTGTAATGCAACCTGAGCCCTGCCACATGCACTGGGCTGTTGATAGTCAATTGCCCAAATCATTATTTATTTGTTTATTCCAAACAAGTACAGTAAAAGCATTTGATCAATAGTGTCATAAAGTGTAGTTATTTCTTCCTAGTTTGACTCAGGGTCCATCTACACTGTAGAATACATGCAGCTTGATTCCATTTTAACTATGGCTCAATGATAGCTGAGCTTTACAAGGCCTTTAGCCTTTCCGGCCAAAGAGTGCTGCGTCCTCACCAAATTACAAACCTCAGGATTCCATAGCATTGAGCCATGGCAGTTAAAGAGGTGTCAAACTTCATTGATTCCACAGTGTAGATGCAACTGTAGTTGTTTTCTTGACATGACAGCTGTTCTCGCTTCCCAAAGTGCCAGCTACCTTTTTTTTAGTTAATGATAAATGGACTGGTCAGCAGAGTCAGTGGCTGGAATGCAGGACAGCTGGAGTCAGGACCCTTCTTCTGCAGTTCTCCCCATTCCTGCCTCCCTTCAGGACTGATCCTATCGAAAGATCAGCTAGCTTTTGGTCAAAAGAAACACATACAGAGAGGTAAGGAAGTGGCCAGGTTTCCACCTTCTTTGGCCAACTAAGGCTCCTTTGACAGATACTCGGTTGCTGTAAGGTGAGTGGGATGGAAGTAAGAAATACTATGTATCTATGAGGCATGGGCAAATTTGGCCCTCCAGGTGTTTTGAACTTCAACTCCCACAATTCCTAACAGCCGGTAGGCTGTTAGGAATTGTGGGTATTGAAGTCCAAAACATATGGAGGGCCGAAGTTTGCCCATTCCTGCTATAGCCTATTAAGCAATGTGGGTGTGTATGTCATCGTTTTAAAAAACAATATTTTGGTGATTCATGTGGACACAGTTTATAATGACTTAAGACATACCAAGCTGCATTCATAATATATTAAAAGTTATAATTTAGTCATTTTTTAGCATTGCACGTTAACATGGGTAGTCATCTAATTTGCGTGTTTTCTACATCTCAGGCCACTTAAATTTCAGGCCACTTAAAAATAATGTAGGGTTGTCATGTTTTGTGGACAAATAGTTTAAATTCCTTTAGCCTAATTAAGAAAGATCTTCCCAGGATGTATAAAGACCATCAAAATATGACTTATTTACTTAGAGTCCAGAATTCTGACCCCTTGGTTTGTCACGTAGTAAGCTTTGTACCAAGACTTTTCTGGTCAAAACAATCAGGACTGCTGCAATAAAAAGACAGACTGAGGCTAGGCATCAGTGTGATAAATCTCCTTTCCTAACATCCAAATATGTAATCTTGACTTATTTGAAATTGTATAGTTCTGCACAGATAAGGGCAAGAGAGATATTTCGCTTTCCAACATAGGGCACCAAATAACACTGTTTACACAGCCAAACCAAGGTGCAACATATGCAAAGCCGTCCGTGTTAACCAGGAAATCACACAAATACTTCTCCTCACACGAAGGCTTGTCACGTAGAATGGGGAGAAAGCATTTTTTTGCTGCCCCAGAAACTGGGGATGCATATTCTACACTGTTGAATTAATGCAGTTTGACATGCCTTGGTGGCTTAATGCTATAGAATCCCAGGATTTGTTGTTTGATGAGGCAACAGCACTCTTGGGCAGAGAAGGCTAAAGACATAAGGGAGATATTGATAAGCTGGAATGTGTCCAGAGGAGGGCGACTAAAATGATCAAGAGTCTGGAGAACAAGCCCTATGAGGAGCAGCTTAAAGAGCTGGGCATGTTTGGCCTGCAGAAGAGAAGGTTGAGAGAAGACATGATAAGGGCCATGGATAAATATGTGAGGAGAAGTCATAAGGAGGAGGGAGCAAGCTTGTTTTCTGCTGCCCTGGAGTCTAGGATGTGAAACAATGGCTTCAAACTACAGGAAAGGAAATTCCACGTGAACATTGGGAAGAACTTCCTGATTGTGAGAGCTGTTCAGCAGTGGAACACTCTGCCCCGGAGTGTGCTGGAGGCTCCTTCTTTGGAGGCTTTTAAATAGAAGCTGGATGGCCATCTGTTGGGGATACTTTAAATGCAATTTTCCTTCTTCTTCGCAGGGGGTTGGACTGGATGACCCATGAGGTCTCTTCCAACTCTATGATTCTGTGATTCTGTGACCTTGAAAAACTGCACCTCCTAAATTCCATAGCACTGCACCAAGGCAATTAAAGTGGTGTCAAATTGCAGTAATTCGATTGTGTAAACCCCAAGAACATATTCTGGCAATTGTAGAATCATTGAATCATCAGCTCTTTAAGCCACTCCTCATAGGGCTTGTTCTCCAAACCCTTGATCATTTTAGTCACCCTCCTATGGACACATTCCAGCTTGTCAATATCTCTCTTCAATTGTGGTGCCCAGAATTGGACACAATAGTCCAGGTGTGGTCTAACCAAGGCTGAATAGAGGGGTAGCATGACTTCCCTGGACCTAGACACTATACTCCTATTGATGCAGGCCAAAATCCCATTGGCTTTTTGTGCCGCCGCATCACATTGTTGGCTTATGTTTAACTTGTTGTCCACGAAGACCCCAAGATCTTTTTCACACGTACTGCTCTCAAGCCACATGTTCCCCATTCTGTATCTTTGCATTTCATTTTTTTGCCTATTTCATAAAGAGAAATATTTTAAAATTCTACACCAACTTTAGTTTTTGATCTTTCTTGTTCCTGGCTGATTGATGCCTTACTTTGAATATTTCCACTTTTTGTAATTCTGTTTTTAGAGTTTTGTTTTTTTGTTCTGGTTGTGAGCTGTTTCGAAGTGGCTGAAAGGGGGCATACCAACATAGCCATGTAATAGGTAGATTTGCCATTCAAAGTTAAGGAGGACAATAGGGAAGTGATTAAAAACGTGCATCTTTCTGACCTGCTTCTTTCATTTTTCATGATTTTCTGTTCATTTAAAGGATGATCAGGAAGCCTTCCTTTATTTTTGGAAGCTGCACCTCAGCTGTGCTTCGTCATATTGTCCATATAAAAAGATCTTTGCATGGTGAGTGCTGCCTAAAACAATTGTATTGTTTTGATTATTCCAAGTCATTGGTTGCAAAAGAGTGTGGGTCTTCCACACTGTTGTCTAAAGTAAGAAGTGGGTTGCTATGAGCTTTCTAAGCTGTATGGACATGTTCCAGAAGCATTCTCTCCTGACGTTTCACCCACATCTATAGCAGGCATCCTTAGAGGTTGTGAGGTCTGTTGGAACCTAGGCAAGTGAGATTTGTATATCTGTGGAATATCCAGGATGAGAGAAAGAACTCTTGTCTGAGGCAAGTGTGAATGTTACATTGGCAACCTTGATTAGCATTTAATGGCCTTGCAGCTTCAAAGCCTGGCTGCCATCTGCCTGGGGAATCCTTTGTTGGGAGGTGTTAGCTGTTCCTGATTCCTGTCTGGAATTCCTCTATTTTCTGAGTGTTGTTCTTTGTTTAATGTCCTGATTTTAGACTTTTTAAAATATTGGTAGCCAGATTTTTTTTATGGTTTCTTCTTTTCTGTTGAAATTATTTACATGCTTGTGGATTTCAATGGTTTCTCTGTGTAGTCTGTCATGGTGGTTGTTAGAGTGGTCCAGCGTTTCTGTGTTCTCAAATAATATGCTGTGTCCAGGGTGGTTCATCAGATGCTCTACTATGGCTGACTTCTCTGGTTGAATTAAAATAAGAAGCTTTTTTATATGTGCAGAGCATAATCCTACATAGAGATGTGAAGGTTTACAAACAAAAATCTGGAAAAATTAGAAGAAAACAAAGACATTTTCCACAAAGCAATTGGAAAAATGCGAATGGGATGGAGACTGCAATATTTTTCATTTAGAATAAAATGCTCAAGACAATTCAGATATTTATTCGACCAAAGTCATTTCCAAAAACTGTGTGACAGAAGGATTGTTACATGAGACAATGGGCATTACAATTCCTAGTCTTGGCTTCCTTTTCTCAGTTCTGTCTATGGAAATGAGTGCTTTATGTCTACTGTAGCCAACACAGGACTAAAGGAGATAAAACATTTTTCTTGCCTGTTTCACTGTTTGGTTTTGTTGTTGTTGTTGTTGTTGTTGTTTTGCATTCCAGTTTCCCCGGAGGCTTCTTATGGTTCAAGACCATGTAGGAAATTATATTTGTAATCATTGACAGACAAATTGTTCTTTTAATACAGCAAATATGTTTATTCTATGCTAAACAAAATAATTTTTGTAGGTGGTGACTTAATTGTTCATCCCTATGTGAAGGAGGCTTTAGACAGTGGGAGGCCTGTTGTTGCCTTGGAGAGCACCATTATTACACATGGCATGCCGTATCCCGATAATCTGAGGTTAGCAATTTTTTTCTGATGTAGCAAATGCCAAATTTGGAAGTTATACATTTTTACTGCAATCTTGGGAATCCTCCAGTGTTTTGGAGAAACACTTTTTGGAGATTGTAACTTTTTAAGAAAAGCACGACCTTTCAAGGAAGAGCCAAAAATCCTTTAAAGTAGAATCTTCTCTAATGGTATACAACCAGATATAATTATGCAAGGCAATGGTTCCAGTTGTTAGACTGAATGACCTGCTATCTCTGATATGATAGATAGATGGACAGACTCTCCTATAAAACAACTTAGTAGCCCCTGGTGGCACAGAAGTTTAAACCAGTGAGCTGCTGAACTTGCTGACCAAAAAGTCGCAGGTTCGAATCCAGGGAGCGGCGTGAGCTCCCGTTGTCATCCCCAGCTTCTGCCAACCTAGCAGTTCGAATACATGCAAAAGTGAATAGATCAATAGGTACTTCTCCGGCGGTAATGTAATGGTGCTCCATGACCTTGGAGGTGTCTATGGACAATGCCGGCTCTTTGGCTTAGTAATGGAGATGAGCACCAACCTCCAGAGTCAGAAAATGACTGAACTTACTGTCAGGGGAAAATCTTTACCTTTACTAAAACAACTTATTTTATATCATGCACTCAAGAGACAAAAATGAAGTAGTTTTGGATAAAAAATAACATATTTGATTTGCTCGCAACCTTCATGTGTTCAGCATACACAGGTATAAAACTTATCAGTTCAGTTTCAGATATGTTTGAGATAATTCTCTGTGCCATCCAGCCAGGACATATCATATAGCAAAACAGCAAGCATGTGTTTTGGGGTCTGAAGTAGTTGATAGTCTGTCTGCAGTTTGTCTGAAATAGTCTGAAGTGATCATGTGGTCTGTAGCCCCGTTCATAACTTCTCAAGAACCATAGTGTAAGGAAGCTGCATACCAGAACATACATACAGTAAACAGTAAGCAAGAGGATAATAGATAAATGTTACTAGAGGAGGCTTGAAGAAGGATGTCATTTCCAATACAGTGTTCATGCTAGCTGGAAGCTGCTGGAATTACCCTGTTTCGCTTTTTCTTGTGTATTACCATATGCTGAACTGCTCCAGGGTGGCACAAGAGGTGGAAGAAATTGTACAAACAAACGGATCTGTACCAGCAACAATTGGTGTTATAAATGGATGCATCCATGTGGGTCTCCAGAATGAAGAACTTGAGATTCTGGCAAAGAGCAAAAATGTTGTGAAGGTGTCCCGAAGAGATTTCCCCTATGTTGTCAGCCAGGTACCAGGCAGAAGTTTTTTTTTGTTTGTCTTGTCCAATTATACACTATATAACAAAATTTGAAACATTTTCTGTTCCTGGTTTGAAAGTGTTACTCCTGTTTAACTGTGCAACACTTACTTTGAAAGTAGATGTTATACTCCAAAGACTTTGTTTTTGTGGGTGCCACAAACAATGTTGAATTGGTTGAGGCTCAATGAGATGGTCATTGAAAAACTAGCAAAATGTGCTGCAAGATGTCCCTCAAAAACAAAGTTTTGCAGTTTAACAACTCTTCTCCATGTTTTTATGATAGAACCAATTAGGAAATGACATTTATAAAACAGGAACAAAAGTCCTGTTATTTAGTGTTATTATTTCTAAGCAGTAATACACTCCTCACATTGTCTCAACGTCTCTCTTATAATTTCACAACACTTTTCTAATGTCTAATATTTAATTCTCTTTAGAAGGGTATAGGTTTTATGAAAAAATGCAAAAAACACTCCCTTTTAGACTTATAAGATATTAAGAATATATATTCCTAAACACCCCATATGTATGTTATCACAATCTAGAATTTCTTTTATTAATTGCCTAACAGAGGAAAGATCGGTGTAGGTTGTTTCCCTCAATCTAGACTGTGATGTTTGTTTCACATCAGGGTTTATCTGGTGGGACGACTGTGGCAGGAACCATGTTTGTGGCACATAAAGCAAGGATCCCTGTGTTCGTGACTGGAGGAATTGGAGGAGTCCACCGTGAAGGAGAGAAAAGTAAGAGAAGCATCATATTACTTCTGAGTCAAGAATGTAATCCTCAAATGCTGCCCTGTTTTCTCTTCAGAGATGCTTACACCCAACTGAATTAGATATGAAAAAAAACACATTTCCATGGGTTGCTGGACTCCAGTTCCCAGTGTTACTCACCCTGGGAGTTGTAGTTCAACATGATCCAGAGAGCTGTTTGAATGGGCCAATAATCTTCCACTGCTGGGGTTGCTGGAAAGATTGGTCAATGCAAGATCCATCCTTGGCCAGCCAAGGTATTGTTTTTATGATGTTAATCGATTTTAATGTTTTTATTATTTGTTGTTATTGATTGTTTTTACTGTGTCTGTTTTATTTGTAATCCTTGGGTGTGTCCTTTTGTAAGCCACCCCGAGTCCCTTCAGGGAGATGGAGGCGGGGTATAAAAATAAAGTTATTATTAATATTATTATATTATTATTGGGACTGATGAAAGGGAGAGGGGAAAAACAGTGGAAAGTGGGTGGATATAAATAGGGGACAAAATGGTACTAATAAGGTGTAAACAATAGGTTACACCAGAAGAGGCCGAATATATATGGATTTTTCTTTCTTTGCTAAATTGGATAAACACACACACACAGTATACATTGTCTTTATTTATTTATTTATTTACTGTATTTATCTCCCACCCTTCTCACTCTGAAGGGGACTCAGTGCAGCCTTACAGTTGGCAGCAATTTGATGCCATATCAAGAGATATATAATAAAATAAACATATACATTAAAAACATAAATTAAAAAGCAAAAAACAATGGCTTCAAACTACAAGAAAGGAGATTCCATCTGAACATGAGGAAGAACTTCCTGACTGTGAGAGCCGTTCAGCAGTGGAACTCTCTGCCCCGGAGTGTGGTGGAGGCTCCTTCTTTGGAAGCTTTTAAACAGAGGCTGGATGGCCATCTGACAGGGGTGATTTGAATGCAATATTCCTGCTTCTTGGCAGAATGGGGTTGGACTGGATGGCCCATGAGGTCTCTTCCAACTCTTTGATTATATGATTCAATATAAACCCATTATTAAAACCACACAATCTGAAGTCATAGTCAAAGGCCATTGCAGTCATTATTGCACATATTCCAACTTCACTTATTGCATTGTACTATTGACCAAAGGCTTGGTCCCAGAGGCATGTTTTTATTTTCTTTCTGTTATCTTCTAAATTTGCTCGTGAGGAAATGTGGTCCCACCCCAAATCCCCATAACTTTTAATCTGTTGTGAATGTGGCTGGTAAGTATTGTTTTTATATTATTATTTAACTCAAAGTTTATGTTTTATGCTCTTTTAACATAATTGTTTTGATTTATTGTTTGTTTGTTTTTAATTTAAATAGTTTGATCTTTTTATTGTTTCCATTAGCTTATTGTTTATTGTTATATGTTGTGAGTCGCCCCGAGTACCCTCAGGAAGAGGGGCGGGATAGAAATTAAGTTTTAGTATTAAGTATTGTGTTAAACTCTGCTTTAATTTAAATTGTACAAGCAGAGTTTGTACAATTTAAATTTAAAATATATTTAAAAAACATTTTATTTACTGTTTGTGCTATGCCAATGTGATTTCCCTGTCCTAGCAGAATAACTTATGCAAAATAAGTATGTACATACAGATATCTATATTATTGCCTCCTTTTCAGCTTTGGATGTGAGTGCAGACCTGACAGAGTTGGGCCGTACTCCGGTTGCTGTGATCTCTGCAGGTGTCAAGTCTATACTCGATATTGGTAGGACGCTTGAATATTTGGTAAGTAATGCTAACTGCAGAGTGGAGGACAGGACTTGAAAGTGAGGGCAGATAATTATGGATGTTCTGAATGAATGATATTGGCAGCTATTCAAATGATTACATTGGATATTAAAAGAAAAGTATAAGGGGATAATACAGATTAGTTCCCATCAGAATTGGCATTCATTCTTTAATTGTTCCCATTCACTTCTTTCAATTGTTTTTAGAGACAGACAAGTAATTATAATTTATGGGTTATTGTAGGTTTTTTTTTTGGGCTATATGGTCTAGAGGCATTGTCTCCTGATGTTTCGCCTGCATCTATGGGAAGCATCCTCAGAGGTAGTGAGGATGCTTGCCAGAGATGCAGGCGAAATATCAGGAGAGGAACTAAGGCAAAAACCTACAACAACCCAGTGATTCCGGCCATGAAAGCCTTCGACAATTATAATTTCTAATACCTTTGTCTCTGGTGTCATTGTAACTGTTAATTTCCCTTTTTGCAAATGCAAAATGTAGTTGGTATGGTAATGAAAAAAGTCAATGGACTAGTGTGAGTTCAGTGTCAATCAATGGCCCTGCTGCCCCACCCACGGGTAAATGACATCGCTATCTTTATTTATTTCCACATTTTCATATAAATGCCGCTATTCGTTTTATAATAAGTAGGAACATGCAGGAAGTGAGAAAAGCATAATGTCTGTAGGTTAAATGTGGTCACATTCAGATCGTGAAATACATCATTTTAAAATTTAAACTCATACTTTCCTTTGCACCCCTATTTGCACTTGTGCACTTGACTTTCCCTTCCTATCCTCTGCAGGAAACTCAAGGCGTCTGTGTGGCTGCTTTTGGAGAATCAAGGGAATTCCCAGCTTTCTTTTCACAGCAGAGTGGTTTCCAAGCACCATTTCAGGTGAAGAATGAGAAAGATGCTGCTCAAATGATTGGTGAGCTGTAGGTGGAATAAGTTACTCTTGATGCATGAATGGAGTATGGATGGAGGTTAAATAAGGATGTTTTGGACTACAGCTCCCAGAATCCAATGGTTACATGCTTGCCAGCGGATTCTAGGGGCTGTAGTCCAAAAAAAGTAATTACTATGAGTTTAGCTTTGTTTTGTTTATGCATTATTGAAAATCCCCTTGCATGTTTCATTCCTGAGTGAAGGGAAGCTTTATAGAGCAGTGTTTCTCAAATTGGGGGTCGGGACTCCGGGGGGGGGGGGGGGTCACCACAGACCATCAGGAAACACAGTATTTTCTGTTGGTCATGGGGTTCTGCATGGGAAGTTTGGGCCAATTCTATCATTGGTGGGGTTCAGAATGCTCTTTGATTGCAGGCAAACTATAAATCTCAGCAACTATTTTCCCCAAACTCCACCAGTGTTCACATTTCGGCATATTAAGTATTCACTCCAAGTTTGGTCCAGATCCATCATTGCTTGAGCCCAGAGTGCTCTCTGGATGTAGGTGAACTACAACTCCCAAATTCAAGGTCAATGCCCACCAAACCCTTCCAGTATTTCTGTTGGTCATGGGAGTTCTGTGTGCCAAGTTTGGTTCAATTCCATCATTGGTGGAGTTCAGAATAATCTTTGATTGAAGGTTAACTATACATCCCAGCAACTACAACTCCCAAATGACGACAACAATCCCACTAGTATTCAAATGTGAACGTATTGGGTATTTGTGCCAAATTTGGTCCAATGAATGAAAATACATCCTGCAAATCAGATATTTACATTATTATTCAGAACAGTAGCAAAATTACAGTTATGAAGTAGCAACGAAAATAATGCTATGATTGGGGGTCACCACAGCGTGAGGAACTGTATTAAGGGGTCACAGCATTAGGAAGGTTGTTGAAAACTACTATTCTAGAGCTATCCTAAATCTATTCATCTTCTTTAGTCCATCCTCTGCATGTCATATGCTTTTCCTTGTCCCTTGCATCTCATACCAAAGTGCTCTCCCAACATAATGAAAATAAAATGGTAGAGAGAGAGAGAGAGAGAGAGAGAGAGAGAAAATGTTAGTTAAATTGAATTGCTTGGTATCAAGATGACATAGTGATCAATCTTTTTTCTCAGCCAGGTCCTTAGCATTGCAGTTGGGCAGTGGGGTGTTGATTGCAGTGCCCTGCCCAAAGGATCATGCCGCTTCTGGGCACCAAATTGAAGGAGCAATTCAGCAGGCTTTGGAAGAGGCTCAGTAAGAAACACCATGTCCCATTCCTTTTTTTTGCAATGAACTAATTTGTATTGTGTAGGCAATTGTTCATATCAGTGCTCGATCCTAGAAATATTGGATGGGGCAATCTGGGAGTTGTAATCCAAAACAGCAACTTTCCCAAACTCTGACCAGTAAACATTGATTCAATCATTGCTCCTGTCCTTCTACCTTGATTCAATTTGCCTTTTTTACTGCTTTAATGGAATGGAATGCATTCTAAAACTGAGGAAAACTTATTTGTGTGCACACCAGGCTTCTTTGCCATGGTAATCCATGCTCTGGTTACATTCTGAATAGACGACTACAGTGTGCTCTACGTGGGATTGCCTTTGAAGACTGTTCGGAAGCTTAAATTAGTCCAATGGGCGGCAGCCAGATTGCTCACTGAAGCGGGTACAGGGAACATACAACTCCTCTGTTAGGCCAGCTCCACTGGCTGCCAGTCTGCTACTGAGCACATTTCAAAGTGGTGGCTTTACCCTAAACAGTTCTGGCCCAGCTTACCTGTCCGAACATATCTCCCTCTATATAACACCTTGGTTAAGATCTTCTGGGGAGGTCCTGCTCTCAGTCCCACTTCCTTCACAGGTGTGGTTGGTGGGGACAAGGGACAGGGCCTTCTCAGTGGTGGACTCTCACCTGTGGAACTCCCTCCCTACCAAAATTAGATCAGCACCCTCCCTTTTGGTCTTCAGAAAGAAAGTAAAGACATGAATATGGGACCAAGCCTTTGGGGCAGTAAGCAATGTAAGAAACGTACAGGATTATGTGTGATTGACACTTGGAAAGGCCTCAGACTTCGGCTCCTGAATTATGTTATCTTAATGTTTATATTAATATGTTTTTAATTCCATGTTTACATGTTTAGATGTTTCTCTATTTAATATGGTTTAATTTTAATTTATAGTTTTATGTTACAGTTGCTTTCATACTAGGTTTTTTTGTATGTTGTAAGGCATTCAATTTTTGCCGTGAATCTTTTGGAAGCCACTTTGAGTCCCTCTGGGGGAGTATATAAATGAAGTAAATAAATAAATTCTGTGACCAGAACACAGAACAATTTTTTTCTACAATCATTCTGTCAGAGAAGATTCTGTGTTCAAACAAAATATGGATTCTATGCTATCCAAATTATAGACCTCCAGTCATACCTTTATAGTGTTTGTTCATAGCCTCTGATAACCTCTGTTTTGAGGCCTTATTAAATGTATAGAATAGATATGCCAGCTGTCACAAGAATAAAACCACTCAGTACAGACAGAATATCCCTTATCCAAAATGCTTGGGCCGAGAAGTGTTTTGCATTTTGGAAGGTCTGTATTTACACATACATACATAGTGAGATTTCTAGGCAATGAGATACAAAATTCATGTGTGTTTCATATGCATCATATATACACAATATGAAGGTATTTTAGACAATATTTTAGACAATTTTCTGCATGAAACAAAGTATGTGCATTGAAAGTAAAGATATTACTAATTTCATCAATTCACTTTGGATTTTGGAGTATTTGGGATTTTGGAATTCCAGATAAAGGATGCATAACCTGTCATGTTTTCCCTATAAATATTCAAGGCAATTCATTCTTAAACTGAATAAATCATTCAGTGACACCCTGTAACGTGATTATGTGTTCTCATCCACGTCATGTTTTTACATTCTTAGGGGAAAAGGTATCCTGGGAAAGGAACTCACACCCTTCCTGCTACAGAGGGTGAATGAATTATCCAATGGGGAATCTCTGAAAGCCAGTATCCTTTCCTAGAAATGTGTGTGCATTTATGTGCCTTCAGGTCCGCTGTTGACTTATGGAAACCATACATTTTCATAGGACTTTCTAGACCAGGAATACACAGAGCTGCTTTGCCATTGCCTTCCTCTGAAATATAGCCAAGAACAAACCCCCCCTCCCATTGAAATACTAACCAGGCCTGATCTTGCTTAGCTATCAAGAATACTCAAGATCTGGTGCCTTCGGGTATTCTCCAGTGATAAAGGGCTCGTCCAGACAGTACTTCACCTTTATCCCAGGAGCTTCTACATCAAAATAGAGGGTGGCCAAATGCCATTCCCTGAAAACGTGGAAGCAATTGCTACAAATGGCAAAACGGGCGAGATTGTGGCTATCCAAATCTCTGTCTCTACACTCAGATAATACGGGATCTTTTATGTTGGTTTGTTCCTGGGTTATACATGTTGGTTCCTGATTGGTTGTATCCTAAAAACATGGCAACAGTTGACTAGAGGGAGAAAACTTTGTTCTGGAAAGAGAAACTTCATCCTCCACACATTTAATGAAGTTTGTGACACACAAACAAAGTTTTTGCCATATAATCTACTTTTCTCATGTTTGTATAATAAAAGCAATCAGGAACAGACATGTATAACCTAGGAACAGCACCCTGTAGTTTCCAGGTACAAGTACACAGCCAAACTTGTCTGGACAGATGGCCACGCAGCCTCTATAACCCAGGAACGGAATTTATACAATGAGTCACATATTCACATCTTAAGTCTTTTTTAAAAACTCCCAATATTTCTGGCAGATGTCCCATGGCAGCTATCTTGGTCTGAAATCCTGAAAAAAAAATAGTATCGTAAATTTCTTCCAGATTCAGATTGTTTTGGTGATGCACAGGAATTTGAATCGTTCTCTTTCCAGAAGAGGCAGTGCATCATGCCACGCATGATGAAAGCAAGATGCTTTGTTGTTGGATAGAGAGACAACTATTTAGATATTACAGAGAGTAGGAATAGACAAAACTTTAGTCTGACCCAGCAGGACCGTCTCTTCTTTCTATAGTCTCGTTCTAACCTGCCCAAATTCAAACAGTGAGCAAACAGTGAGCAAACAGTTTTCTTTTGCATATAAATGGTGAGAGCATCAGGATGGCCAGCTGTCCTACTTTTAAAAAGGCTCCTATCGATTTGAATGCATGTTCATATCTAAAAGGTCACCCACTCCAAGTCTAGTTTACAGGCAAAGAAACCTAAGGAGTCATTGAAGCTTCTTATTGGGGATTAGCATCTGAAGAACAGACCAAGTGGAAATGCAATGCATCTCATTACAGTTTCTAAACTTACAAGCCTGTGTCTATTAGTCCCTCAAATTTTATCCAAATCACCCAATTAGCCGGTGGTGTGATATGCTGGAAGTTGCAATCCAAGAATGTCTAAAGAGCAGTACGATATCTACCACTGGTTTATATGTAACCCGGTTAAACTGCTGAGCAGCTGAACTTGCTGACCAAAAGGTCGGCGGTTCAAATCTGGGGTCGGGGTGAGCTCCTGTTGTTAGCCCCAGCTTCTGCCAGCCTAGCAGTTTGAAAACATGCAAATGTGAGTAGATCAATTGATTCAGCAGGAAAATAATGGCACTCCATACAGTCATGCCAGCTTCATGACATGTATGGTCAACGCCAACTCTCTGGCTTAGAAATGGAGATGAGCAACAGCTCCCAGGGTCAGACACGACTAGACTTAATGTCAAGGGAAAACCTTTACCTTTCTATCTCTGCACCATATTTGTATATTCACTTTTCTTTTGGTTGCTAGGTTGTTCTTTTTCCTCTCCTTTCCTTTCATCAGTCTCTCTACAGACATTGCCTTGATCAAGAACAATGCCAGAGTGGGCAGCCGTATAGCTGTAGCCCTGAATAAGATTCCGAGAGCCCAGGGGTCAAGAAATACTTCGCTTCCAAATGAAAATGTATCTGCTGTGTCAAGACCGGTGAGTACTCTGCCTTGCTAGACTTTGAATCATTTGCTCATTGTGTTGTGCTGCAGGGTTTTGCTATTTTTGCTGGAGGTACCTGGATTGATTTGCAGAACAGAAACCCTTTTGGGTTGTGTCCATTCTTAAACTGTGGCACACACAGTGGTTTCAGTCACATATATTTCCTTTCTGCAAATCGAAACCCTCCAGGATCGTTGGACTACAGCTCCAAATGGTCATCTTTCAGGAAGTGAGAGCAACTATAGTCCAACAACTCTTCAAAGTGCCAGGTTAGGAAAAAGCTAATAATGATATTTGGGAGGTTTCTGTATGTAAAGACAATTACTTAGGCGATCCCTTGTAGCTCAAGGATGATTGTCTTCCAGATGTGATGTCTTGGCAGTGGGTCCGTAGGTGGCTGTGGAGTCCTATTCTTGATCCGCATGTTCTCCCGTAGTGAGGACATAGGTTTCCAGACGGAAGGCGGTCCCATTCAGGATTGGCTTGACGTGCCTTCCTTTTGGCATGTTTCTCCCTTTCTCCCTCTGTTCGTGCCTTTTCGGGACTGGATAGCCATTGGATGTGCTTTAGCCCCATGGTCATGAATATGACCATCAAAATGTAAATAACATGAAGCTTGAATACTTTATGTATATACTGGCCCCACAACTGATATCTCTTAGTGATTATTCTGATGTAGAAAAAAAATATTATCCCATACTATACTATTCAGCTCTTGATTCAATGAGTCTACTATGATTATGGCTACCAATAGGATCCAGGTATAGCACCTGCATGGTTTGAGTGCTGGACTACAACTCAGAAGGCATCAGAGAAACACCCTCTGATAGGTTTATCTAAGGGTCATTATATGGTGGAGTTGATTTGAAGTCAAACAATAACAACAGCTATTTTAGTATAAGGACTTTTGGAGGTGTTTGGAAACCACTGCAAATGTTGCAGTTATCAAACAAGAGTGAAGTACTTGGCAGGCTTCAGGCAGGTGCTTGTAAGTAGTAACACATTTTGTGAAGAATGGCTAGTTCTCCACAAAACCAAAGGGCGCATTAAACAAATGCCATATGTTGGGTCCTCGTCCATTAACTCTCACCCTGCTTCTGTTCAGAGACTACAAGCTGCCATGTTTAGGCAATTCAGTCTTGGTGAGACATGAGGGAAAATATGAATTGTAGGTCATTGAAAAGCACAGCCTGTCAAAGCTTTCTGGAAATTGCTTCAGGTTGTGGCATATAGTGAGCAGCTTGTTGCTGTACATCCCTGTTGGCTTGGAACCTGGGCAAATGCTCTATTAATAGTCTGATTGCATCTGTGGAAAAGCATAAGAGGTAAAGATAGGTGGCATAAAGCAATGCTGTCACATTTTCCCAACTGTGTTTTACTTTCAGGTGGTCATTGGTGGCATCAATGTTGACATCATCGCCAAGGCAAAAGATGCAACAATACTGGTTGTTTGTTTATTATTATTATTATTATTATTATTATTATTATTATTATTGTTATTATTTGTACCCTGATTTTTTTCTCCACAAAGTGGCTTGCATTTAGTGATATTTAGGTGGCATTATAGAACCAGAATGGTTTGAGTGCTAGATTCTCGAAGCCCCAGGGTTCAAATCCCCGTTCAGCCGTGGAAACCCACAGGTGATCTTGGACAAGTCATAGAATCATAGAACCATAGAGTTGGAAGAGACCTCATGGGCCATCCAGTCAAACCTCCTGCCAAGAAGCAGGAAAATCACATTTAAGTCATATTCTCTTCACCTTAGAGCAGTGGTTCCCAACATTTGGTCCTTCAGTTGCCTTTGACTTCAACTCCCAGAAACCCCAGCAATCTTACCAGCTGTTAGGAATTGTGTGGGAACTGAAGTTCATAACATCTGGAGGACCAAAGGTTGGGAAACACTGCTTTTGAGGAAGGCAGTGGCAAACTTTAGATGCACACAAGTCTTCTGGAAATCTACAACCGTATTGCAAGGAGAGAAACGGGTAATTCTAGTTGCCACAAATGCTGGTTTGAGACCCATGGAAATCTACAAGAATAAATTAAGTGGGCATTTTTCCACACATAGAAACATTGACATTAAACTATATGGTTTAAAAATAAGAGTGATGAAGCTGGAGTGTGTGGGAAAGAAGGCTTAAAGGAGATAAATAAACAAAACATTGTTTGCCTTGCCCTCTGTCTGGCTGGAATATTGAGTGCCAGATGATGCAACACACTTCTTTCCCCAAAGACTTTGTTCCACATCCAGGCATCTGGCCACATTTGTGATTAGCTGACATGTGGCAGGAAATGGAACAGTGCAATGGTTATTTAATTAAAAATTAACTAAGAAAACAATTCTTAATCCTTGGAGACAGAGAAGAAAAATACAAACTGCAGTAAAGATTAGTGAGTGTTTCTAATTCCAAAAGAAATGAGGAGACCTCTGTGCAAAGATACCAAGAGGTGATAAGAATCAGGGGACTGCAGAGGCAATGCAAAGATTAAATATTGTTATAACAATTATTCTTTAGATCAGTTGTTCCTGAATGAAAGGTCCTGAATGAAATCACTTTGAGCTGCAACACTTACAATGGGTGCTGTCCCCTGTTAAAAATTAGCTTCACTTCGTGTCTTTTAATTTTTTCAAGAGCAAGATCCAAAATCCTGTTAGTATCTTACACATATGTCATTTCCCTCGTGGAAACAGTTGGATTTCTTTGTCCAGTGCAGAGCATTTGTATTCAGATTAAGGTTATAGAAGGCAAGTTGCAGTTTGTGCCTGCATGTGTATTACACATTGATGTATTATACATTCTTGCATTGTGCATTCAGCTGCACATTTGGAGTCTTGGTTCAGTTGCGCACCATAGATACTCGACACCAATCCAATCCAATCCAATAAGTCTTTATTGGCCTATACATAGCAAAGAGGTATAAAATAGAGTAAAAACCATAGAAAAGGGAACTTCACATTTGCTACACATTCAGTTTACAGTCACAGACTTCATTACTGCATAATTCCACATGCAGAGATTTACAGTACACAATCCTATTGTAGGCTCTCAGTCAATGTATTCATTTGATCTGGTTTAGGGTTTCCCCTTTATTCTGCATTGGACAGTCTAGTCAGCAAGAGTACATAGAACCACCCTAAATAATTTCTGAACAAATACCTTGATTACATTGGTGACACTTGAAGTAAATTCAAATGAATTAAATCAAGTAGATACAGGGCATCAGTGTAAGTACATAAATATCATTGAGCATGTTCAATTTGTTTCGATCCTCTGACCTCTGTTCTGTACTTGCAGCATGGTGGGCAGACAAATCCCTCAACAGTGAGACAATCTTTTGGAGGTGTGGGAAGAAATCTAGCAGGTAATTTGTTCACATTCACAGCCTTGAATATTTTTCACACTTTTGGAATCTAGATTAATTTTTTTTACTAGAGCTTGGACGTCCGTCAATTCATGCAAAATAGTGATCAGGAAGGCAAGGGGACGATGTTTTGAAAATTAAAGAACCAAAGTGTCACTGAGCAAATGTTCAGCCCAGAAATTTGTTTTCTGTGTAAGAACACACAGCTTAGTGGTTTGAAGCTGCTGTCAGATGTAGACTGGGACTCAGATGTGTACATTTAGACCAGGCATGAGCAAACTTTGGTCCTACAGCTGTTAGGATTTGTGGGAGTCGAAGTCCAAAGCACCTGGAGGGCTGAAGTTTGCCCATGCCTGATTTAGACAGATATGTCTAGTTAAGACTCTGACAGAGGCCCCAAGCAACAAAAATAAAAGACTTTGCAACACAAACTTTAGGGGATCTACTCCACTTCAAAAATGCAAAGAGGCCAGACTCAGTTCCTGTATAATTAATTTGATTTTGTTGAATGTGTGCCTATAAGTAAAGGTAAAGATTTCCCCTAACATTAAGTCTAGTCGTGTCCAACTCTGGGGGATGGTGCTCATCTCCATTTCTAAACTGAAGAGCCGGCATTGTCCATAGATGTCTCCAAGGTCATATGGCCGGTATAACTGCATGGAGTGCCGTTATCTTTCTGCCAGAGTGGTATCTATTGATCTACTCACATTGGCATGTTTTCAAATTGCTAGGTTGGCAGAAGCTGGGGTAACAGCGGGAGCTCACCCCACTCCCTGGATTCAAACCGACCTTTTGGTCAGCAAGTTCAGCAGCTCAGCAGTTTAACTCATTGCACCACTGGGAGCTCTGAATATGTGCCTATCCTCCATCATTTCACAGATAAAAATGGGGATGCATGAGGCCAAGAAACTGCAGGATGTGGTGAAGATGGCAAAAGTTATTAAGCGAGGAGTGGTTGCAGCAGTTTGCTTTTGCCTGAGATGTAATAATAATAAATAATAAAACTTTATTTATAGACCGCCCTTTCTCCCTGAGGGGACTCAGGGCAGTTTACAACACAAAAAGGCAAACATTCAATGCCTAGACAAATGCATTTTTTTTTACAATAATGCAATATAATAAACATAATAATGACAGGGTTTTTTTTCCATATCAAGAGTGACTTGAGAAACTGCAAATTGCTTCTGGTGTGAGAGAATTGGCCGTCTGCAAGGACGTTGCCCAGGGGATGTCCAGATGTTTTGATATTTTGCCATCCTTCTGGGAGGCTTTTCTCATGTCCCTGCATGGGGAGCTGGAGCTGACAGAGGGAGTTCATCCACACTCTCCCCAGATTTGAACCTGTGATCTGTCGGTCTTCAGTCCTGCCGGCACAAGGCTTTAACCCATTGCACCACCAGGGGCTCCTAATAATGACAGTCAACTTATTGTATTAAAAAATCATTTGAAATTGAAAAACAAGATACAAATAATCACGTAGAAATAGGTTACACTACAAAGAAAGGCAAGATTCAATAATTTAATTGAGCACGATCTACTTTTGAATGTTGAACTCAGTTTCAGCAGTTGAAGTAAATTGAGACTGAAGGGGGAAAGTGAGTGGAAGAGAGATAAATTGGGATGTTTTAAAAGCAGAGAAAAATGTGATGACAGAGGAATATTAGGACTGTCTTTGCCAAATAAGCCAGTTGGAAGATATGTATGGTGAAGTATACATTTGTTTATTGCACTAGCTTCTACTTGTTTCTTTTTGAAAAGACTATTTTATTTGTAGCCCTTTTGTAGAAAACTAAAAAAAAGTTGAGTGATATTTTGGTTGAATTAATGAGAAGAGGCCCTTAAGGAGTTTGAAGAGGTTGAGGCCAGGTCTCTGCAAATTATTTTTTAATGTTGGAGGCCTCAAGGCTGCCCAGTATGGTTCTAAAATAGTAACAGGGATCCCTGTTGTGTTTGAAATACACACGTCATAAATTTGATGAAGTATTTAGAAATTCAAGGCTTAAAGAACTCAAAGTTCAAGGCTTGATGTTTTAACTCTCAAGTTTAGAGTTCTCCCACTTTCCTCCTCTGTTTTCACATCAGCTCGCATCTTGGCTTCTCCCTCCGAATTAAAATTCTTCAAGAAACTGCAGGCAAGGCAATATTCTCAGTTGCTAAATTCTGCATACAAAATGAACTCAACCTCTTCTCTGTTAGTCCACTTGGACTGCAACAGATCACTGCTGGAGCTGAACTGAACCCTTTTAACTAATCTTAAGAGATGTTCTTTCGGATTCCCTGAATTTAAGGCATGGAGCTCAGAAATGTCACTTTTTTGTAAGGCAGTTCCCTGAGTCCCCTACACAATACAGCTGCTGGATATATAGTTCAAAAATGACATTTCCATGCTGTGCTCAGCAGCAGAGCGCATACCTTGCATGCACTTAGTCTCAGTTTCAACCCCTACCACCTCCATTGTAAAAGGATCATGTTATAGCAGGTGATGGGAAAGATCGTTTCCAGAGACGCGAGAGTAGTTTGCATTCAGAAAACTGAGCAGGGAAATGAAGAGAGGAGGGGGCATAATTCTGTCTTTTAAGTGAAGGCACAAGTAAAAGCAAACTGGTGCAACTTAGATTATGCATTTCTTCCTCATAACCTTTACCATTTTTGGCTGCATTTTTTTTTACTGTTTTTCATTCCTGAAATGTTGTTGAATATATCTTTGTCCTATATTTGTAGTCTCCCAACCAGGCAATAACTGTTAGGGGAAACTGCCCTAAAATATAGCAGAGCATCCAAAAACAAACAGGATACTAAAAGTTGAGCATCGGCTCACAGCATTCAGAGCGTGAAGTGCTGTGTGATGTGGCTGAAAAGAATTTAGAGCTTAGGCAGGCAAACAGGCCGAGTCCAATCTTAAAAATCACAAAAGGTTTATTTACAATAATAAACAATAATTGCATTTCTTAATAGTAAAGAACTGGGTCTGAGCTACTCTAACATCCATGTCTTCTAAGGTTTCAAAGAGAGGGGAATCTTAAAAATCACAAAAGGTTTATTTACAATAATAAACAATAATTGCATTTCTTAATAGTAAAGGACTGGGTCTGAGCTACTCTAACACCCATCTCTTCTAAAGTTTCAAAGAGAGGGGGAAATCATCCAAGCGCTACATCTCTCTGACACACACACACAGAGAGAGAGAGAGATCTCTCAAAGCAAACAGTACATACACCACTGTAAGAAACAGAAGTCAAGGTAAAGGTTTGCAGTAGAAAAATATCCATTCTACACAACCAATCAGAATGAGAACAGAAGAGGAGAGAAGAAATAGATACATACCCAACTCTCATACAGGAGACATGGTGAAGGGAAACTCTTGTCTATACTAAACTAACTGCTCCTTGTTGAGGACTTGAGACTTGGGCAGTGTGGGGTTGAATTCCAACAATAACTACATCCCTGCTTAGATCCTGAAATCAGATGAGATTAAGTGTAGCGTTGCAATTTGAATATCCCTTACCCAAAATGGCTGCAAACAGAAATGTTCTGTATGTCGAATTTTCAAATACTTGCATATCCATAATAATCTTGGCGATGAAACCTAAATCTAATGTGAAATTCATTTGTTTTTCATACGCATCTTGCACACACAACCAGGAGGTAATTTTATACAAAATTTAAACCATTTTGCATTTGAAACAAAGTGTGTGTACGTTGAACCATTAGAAAATAAATGGGTTGTTGTAGGTTTTTTGGGCTATATGGCCATGTTCTGGAAGCATTCTCTCCTGACGTTTCACCTGCATCTATGGCAGGCATCCTCAGAGGTTGTGAGGTCTGTTAGAACTAGGAAAATTGGGTTTATATATCCATGGAAAGTCCAGGGTGGGAGAAAGAACTCTTGTTTGTTGGAGCTAGGTGTGAATGTTTCAGTTAGCCACCTTGATTAGCATTTGATGGCCTGACTGTTTTTAGGTGTGGCTTGTTAGTGCCTGGGGGAATCCTTTTTTGAGAGGGGATTAGCTGTCCCTGATTGTTTCTTGTCTGAAGTTCCCCTGTGTTTGAGTGTTGTTTTACTGTTATAATTTTAGAGTTTTTAAATACAGGTAGCCAGATTGGTTTCATTTTCATGGTTTCTTCCTTTCTGTTGAAATTGTCCACATGCTTGTGGATTTCAATGGCATCTCTGTGTAGTCAGACATGGTGGTTGTTAGAGTGGTCCAGCAATAACATATTGTGTATGTTATTGTTGGAGAGAAAGAGTTGTGATTCAGTCTGACATAGTGGTTGTTAGAGTGGTCCAGCATTTCTGTGTTCTCAAATAATATGCCATGTCCAGGTTGGTTCATCAGGTGCTCTGCTACGGCTGACTTCTCTGGTTGAAGTAGTCTGCAGTGCCTTTCGTGTTCCTTGATTCGTGTTTGGGCAACGCTGCATATGGCGGTCCCTATGTAGACTTGTCCACAGATGCATGGTATACGGTAGACTCCTGCAGAGGTGAGAGGATCCCTCATGTCCTTTGCTGAATGTAGCATTTGTTGGATTTTTTAGTAGGTCTGTAGATAGTTTCTAGGTTGTGTTTCCTCATCAGCTTCCCAATGTGGTGAGTGGTTCCCTTGATGTATGGCAAGAACACTTTTCCTCTGGGTGGATCTTTCTCTTGACTCTCGTGGCTTGTTCTTGGTCTTGCAGCTCTTCTGATGTCTGTGGTGGAGTATCCATTGGCCTGTAAAGCCCAGTTTTGGTGGTTCAGTTTGTCTTGGAGGAGGTGGGGTTCACAGATTCTTTTTGCACAGTCTGACAAGGCTTTAAGGGTGTCATAATCTCAGCCACTCATGTAGATAATTTTGGATTTGGGAGTATTTTGAAATTCTGGATAAGGGATATTGAGGCAGTATGAAATCAGATCATGCTCGACTAGATGGAGAAATAGTCTGTTATAAGAAAGCTCCCTGTACAGAAGAGGGAGAGAGAATACCTTCCCTCCAAGCATATACTGTATCTGGAGATTTAGATTCAAGGTAGTTAACACAGAGCCCTGTTTTTTTCTGTCTCTCTTTTCTGGTTTCAGATTGCTTAAGTCGTCTTGGGAAGACTCCTTTCTTCATCTCAGTCATGGGGAAAGATGAACATTCAGAATCTGTCATGCGTTACTGCAGGCATATGGTAGTTCACAGCATGTGATTATTGTTAAGACCTCTGCAATACGTTTTCTCTTTATACCTGATCTTGGTTATGTTTTGTCAAGTGTGTTACTTTTGCTACAAAAGACTTAACCCAAGCAGTCCCTTTGCAGAGCCTAGGTTTGCAGCATGACCAACCAAGCAAGAATTCTCTGTGGACATTGTATCACCGAAATGTCTATAACTCTTAGTTGTCACAATCAAACAAAAGAGAAAGCAGCTTTTAAATAATACAATTTGGGCCCATATTTTTGCAAGTGAAAAGAAGAAAAAACTCAATATTACATTACTATTTCAGCCCTATCATTGCTTCCAAGACTTCTTATCCACAGGGGTGCCATTTCAGATATCACTAGACAGACTGAGGGAGGAGGAAATTAACAGGTCTGTTCCTAGGCACTTAACTCCACACATCTTATGAAGTAGACTTAAGTATTTGGAAGATTATGCTACCAATTTCATCACATCAGCTTGTTGTCTCACGGCAATCATGTTGTTTAACCTAATGGAAACATGCTGTTATTGTAATGAAGGACTTTCACACATTGCTGCACTTGTGCTCTGCTGGTGCTTTGCTGATGCAAATTCCCACAATCAGTTATCCACACAGACTTGGTTCTGACCTATATTCATCTTACCATTTTTAAAATTTTGCACTCATGGCATTCTCACAACTCCTTCTTCCACTTTGTAATTTTGGGTCTGAGAAGGAAGGAAACTATTGTGAAAGATATAATGGTGCAACAATAGTGATATAGAATTCATGTATGGGTTTTCCTTCAATGAAAAGAGACAATCCAATCACTATTTCAAGTACAATGCAAATACAGGACAGCCATGCTGTCTTGTGATAAGCCTCAACATAATAAACTTTTATTTTTCAGTAATTGTGTTTTATCAGTCTCAAAGTCTTTAGTCTCAAAGATGCCAAAAAATCCCCCAAAAATCCCATACTCTGACAAGAGAGACTCTTGTGCAATCTTTCCTCTATGCACGGTGTTAAAAGTAGTTCTTTATCTAATTTGTGTATGTGTGTGTTGGTGAGAAACTGCAAGTTGCTTCTGGTGCAAGAGAATTGGCCATCAGCTAAGACATTGCCCAGTGGACATCTGGATGTTTTACCATCCTGTGGGAGGCTTCTCTCATATCCCTGCATGAGAAGCTGGAGCTGACAGGTGGGAGCTTACCCTGCTTCCCAGTTTCAAACTGCCAATCTTTTTGTTAGCAGGCCTGCTGGCACAGGGGTTTAACCCATTGTGCTACTGGGGGCTCCTCTTTATCCAAATGGGATTATTACTTGTATACAGCTAGAGTTATATGGGGGAAGGGAGCAGCATACTCTGGGCTTGCGGAGAGGTAAAAATATTTCAATATATTTCTTGTCTATTCCTGCTTTGCTTTGAGGATATGAGAGGTGTCTTGCAACTGGAAGGACACAACACAGCCACTTACTGTGCTGTAATCACTGGCAGTGGAGAACTGACCCTTGGCTTGGGCGACATGGACATTCACCAGCAGATAACTGAGCAATATGTAAGGTTCTTCTGTACTCCTTTCTTTCCAGGAACTGAAATCTCTTTGCCGTACTCTACTTACATTGCCTTTCCCAAAGAGCTGTGATGCTTCTGACTGATAGTTCCTCAGAGGTCTCAACTAGTCTGCGTGAGTTCACACGCGGAGTAAGACAGGGCACAAATATTATATAGAAATAAATGAATCATTACACAGGAGTCTTGGTAACCCCGATCCTTGGTACTTGATCATTTGGGAGGACTCAGCTCCCCTCTCTGGTGTATTTCTAGGGAGTGACAACATCCCTGCCTCTCAATCCTGGTATCCATGCCATAGCCAGATGTAAGAGGAGATTATCTGCTGAGACCTTTGGAGAACAGATGATCTCATTGTTCCGCATCTGGCTGTGGGCACACAGCAGAACTCTTTTCCAGTCTTTTGCTTACTGAGTTTCTGGGGTGGGCACTATCACACCCTGATTGTGAGTCCTCAGTGTAGTGTAATTCTCCCCTTGGAAATTTTACCATATACTTAGGGATGTAGGATCTTGTCCATTATATCGCAAGCTAGGCCCAAATAATGTATAGTTCTAGACACCTTTTTGAACCACCGCAGACGCCATAAGCACCTATACTGAGCGCGTCCTTCAGAAACTAGCAAGGGTTATGACAAGGTGCTGAAAGCTGGCTCCAATGTCTCCACCCACAACTCCTTCCCCAGATGCTCTGTTTCTAGGACATGCCGAGCTATAGAAACACAGGTAAACACAGCCTGCTTGAAGCATATTTTGGAAGGCTAATGGAAGGGGTATTTAGAAGTGATTCAGGTGCAGCTCCACCCTTTTCCTCTGCTCATAGCAACTATGGTGAAGGAAGGAATCAAGGTGCTGCACTTAACAGCTGATAGTGTTTTGTTAAAAAGGCAGATGTATGTCACCAGTTCACTTATCAGCAAGACCCTTAAAAGACTGAAGATGGAAGGGGAAAAAGTGATCATTGCTTCCACCCGCTCTCCACCCTTTCCTGATTCTCCTTTTATTAGCAAAGGAAGGAAAAAGAATGTAAGACCATTAAGCATTATATAATATTCTGGGTCCTTTTCAGAATAGTACAATGAAAAGAAAGCCATATGGTTCCTATCAAGCTTAGTGTGCTGTTGCAGCGATGTTCCTTTTGATTGATTTTACCCAAGTTGTGAGATGTGAGAAGCTGTCATGAGTTGGAAGGAAAATTTATAGCACAGGGTAGCATGTTAGGTAAAAAAAAAAAAAAAAACAGAGTTTGGCAAAGCTTATTTTAGACTACAGTTCCCCAAACCAACATGGCCACACAGGAGCTTCTGGGAATTCTAGCAAAGTCACCTTTCCAAGTTTTGGGCAAAATGTTAGGCTAAGTTTCCAATAGCTAGCTCGTTTCCCAAGATTTAGATTCAATCATATCTAATTGTAACCTAGAAGTACACTCTACCATTTTCAGCATAATCAAAACTTTATCTACAAGTTACTTTTGGATAGATGGGTCCATTGCTTGACAACATAGGAAACTTCATATGTATCCTTTTTACTGTTCTCATGAACATCACTTTCCCTTCTTATTTTGAGGTGAGGTTTCCCATTCAGTGGAAGTAAACACAGTTTTTATTTGCTTCAAAACTGTGCATCTTCCATTGCTTGTCAACAAGTGTTACACTCTCACAACTTGTAAGGACACTTTTGCTCTAGGGCTGCATAGCTGCATTTATTTGTCAGTCCCCTTCTTAAATCATCCTTTTGAGGCTATTTGTCTAATTGCATCTCCCTATACAGACCATCGCGTGCACTGTGGTCAAAGGAGGAGGTCCTCCTCTCAGTCCCACCCTCATCTTAAGCTTGGCTGGTGGGAATGAGAGAGAGGGCCTTCTCCGCGATCACTTCCTATCTCTGGAACTCCCTCCCTAAAGAAGTAAAAATGCCCCCCACCCTCCTCTAAAATGCACCAAATGCACCTTAGCATATGGAGAGGAGGAAGACTAAGACACTTTAACTACTTGGAATGCTGGCTAGTACCACTTGTACTATATGGCTGCCATGTTACATTTCAAATGAACCCTGGTGCCATCCATTTTTATTTCATCACAGTGCTTAATTCTTTGTGTTATTACTGTTGCTTTATTGTGTATTATTTTGATATGTTTGTACTCACCTGAGGCATTGAATGTTTGCCTTTTTGTATGTGTAAACCACCCTTCGGGGGGAGAGGGTGGTTTGGAAATAAAGTTTTCATTATCATTATATAAAGGACCAGTGCACATTGAAATAGCCAATGGCATGTTTGCACTAATTGTGTTTGCAAATGTGAGCACAAAAATAGCTGAATGGTAAGCAAGCAAATGCAGAATAATAATATTTATTTATTTATTTATCATGTCAGGAGTGAACCAGACAGTTGTATTGTATTGAGAGAAAAAACACAGACACACAAAGTTTGCAAACTTAGCATTATACTAAACATCCTTTGARCAGTAGCTGGCCACTTGGAGTGCCTCTGGTGTTGCTATAAGGTCCTCCATTGTGCATGTGGCAGGGCTCAGGTTGCATTGTAGTAGGTGGTCTATGGTTTGCTCTTCTCCACACTCACATGTTGTGMATTCCACTTTGTGGRCCCTTTTCTGCATCTCGTGGTGCCGGAGTGCAGTCTGTTCAGCYCCTTCCAAGTTGCCCAATTTTCTGTGTGCCCAGTAGGGAGTCTCTCATTTGGTATCAGCCATTGATTGAGGTTCTGGGTTTTAGCCTGCCAGTTTTGGACTCTCACTTGCTGAGGTATTCCAGCGAGTGTCTCTGTAGATCTTAGAAAACTTTTCCTTGATTTAAGTTGTTGGTGTACTGGCTGATATCCAAACAGGGGAATGGGCCAGAGATATCATTGCCTTAGTCCTTTCACTATTGGTTGCTACTTCCCGGAGGATGTCAGGTCATACAATACCAGATAAACTGTGTAATTTCTCCAGTGGTGTAGGGTACAGACATCCCGTGATAATGCGGCATGTCTCATTAAGAGCCACATCCACTGTTTTAGCGTGGTGAGATGTGTTCCACACTGGGCATGCATACTCAGCAGCAGCAGCAGCAACAGAATAATAATAATAATTGTTGTTGTTGTTGTTATTTATATTACCTACCTCTCCTTGTGACTCTAACTTACAGAGAGAAAATTCAATTTAATAAAACAGCTTTTTTCTTACCTTTGGAATGCTGTAATCTATCTTGAAACCCATACTAGTAGAAAGGCAAAATATAAATAATATATTAGTTTAATAAGAGCATCACTGTTGTTCTGCAGGAAAGGGGTTAGAGCAAGGATGTGACAAGCTTAGCTTATGAGTTGTACGTGATGCTCAAAACCTTTATTGTGGTGCTTAGTTCACTCCAAATTCTCTTGATTCCCCCTAATTAAAAAAAAAACAGACAGATGAATAAAATTGCTGTATTTTATGGCATTTTCACCCTTTGTTGTTGTTTTGAGGTTGGAAACTGCAGAGTTACACATTCTTCTGGAAATACAAAGAAGTCATCTTTTGTCCTGCTGGTCTCAAATTCATTGGGCAGTAACAGTTACTTTGGGCAAGATCGCTTGGTATCAAAGTTTATTGGAAGAAGGGTGAGGGGATAGAAAGAGGACAGAAGGCATTATATGGAAATTCATTTATTGATCCACAGGAAGCCTATGACCCAGAACAGCATAATGGCTAAATTAACTTTGCCCAGCTATGGACTTCACCTTCTTTAGTTTAGGAAGAGAAAGGTATACTTCATGTCTAGAATCATTTCAGCTTTTTCATGACAAAATCTCTTCTACATTTCCTTGCAGGTTTCCAAATTCAAGGAGAACCTCTGCTTATCCCCACTAATTTGCATTGATGGGAATGTGCCGATATCCACCATTCAATACATCTGTGAGATTGCGAAAAAGCATAATCTAGCAGGTAAGGGGGGGGGGGGCTATGATAAAACCACAAGAACGGCCATATTCTTTAAGCTGAACACACATACACCCCACACACAGAAATGATACATTCCAGGGGTTGGAGGGATATATACCAATCCTAACCCCATTCCATCACTCTCCTGTTTTGTGAGTTGTGCATAAAGAAGCCCCTGGTGGCACAGTGGGTTAAACCCTTGTTCCAGCAGAACTTCTGACCAAAAGGTTGGTGGTTTGAATCTGGGAAGTGGGGTGGGCTCCCATTTCTCAGCTCCAGCCTGAGAGAAGCCTCCCACAGGATGGTAAAACATCTGGGCCTCCCCTGGACAACGTCCTTGCAGACTACCAATTCTCTCACACCAGAAGCAAGTTACAATTTCTCAAATTGTGCATTATTTTTCTTATGTTTTCATTCTGTCATTCAATTAGAATTCTGCAAATGAGATATCAAAACATGCTTACTTATAGGGTCAAGGAGAAAGAGTCCTTCTCCATAATTTTTATGGTGGCAGGTGCTTTGAGAAGCTTAGGACCAAAGCACCAGCCTAAAAGGCGCAAGTGAGCACTCCAGATGTTTTGGACTCCAATAATCTCTTTGCTGTTGGTCATGCTTGTAGGAACTGTGGTCCAAACTCCCTTTAGAGCACCAGCTTAATGGTTCAAAACTGTATGTTGAGTAACCTAATATCTCTTTTGAAGTGTGTTACGAGCCAACGGATGTGGACAAGGCCTCCAAGCCATTCGTTTCAGACAGTTGGAGGGCCCTGACTTATATCTCTCCCAATCTACGGGAACTCAGAGCGATTAACCAGACGCTGGGACATCCTGTGCCTGCAGGTGAAGCATCCTTGAGAGTGGGGGTGAGAAAGGGGGAAATTCCATCTATCTGTCTATTCTGCCTGTCTAATCTCTGTGTGTGTCTATCTATCATATATTAATATATCTATATATACTGCCTGCCTATTGAAGTAACTTCTTAATAAATGAAAAATATTTTGTATATCTTGTCTGTCTGTCTATCTATCTACCTATCTATCTACCTGTTTCATCTGTCTTGCCTGCCTATCTGTATAATCTTTCCAAAATATCTATTAATCTAATCTATTTTGTATATTTGATCTATCTACTTATTTGATCTCTCTTGCCCATCTATCTATATATCTATCTGTCTAATTAGAAGCCCCTGGTGGTGCAATGGGTTAAACCCTTGTGCCGGTAGGACTGCTGACCATAATAATAAACCTTTATTTATAACCCGCTACCATCTCCCGAAGGACTCGATGAGGCGTACAAGAGGCCGAGACCCAATATATCAATAAACAACACAACAACAATACATCAATAAATAACTCAAGCAATAGACATTAAACAGCACGACACAATTTAAAATCAGTGTCAGGGCCAGTTGTAATGGATTAAAAAATTAAAAACTGGGCATGACCGGGTGAAATGGATAGGTATTTTTGGAGAAGATAGGGCATGCAGCTCCAGCAAAGGATCACCGCCTTGTCGGGGCGCTGGAGCTTGAGCACCTCAATGATGTCATGAGCGAAACCGTGAAGGGCCACCCAAGACGGGATGGTTGTGGCAGAGAGGTCAGACCAAGCGTGATCCCTGGGGAAGGCAATGGCAAACCACTCCAGTATCCTTGCCAAGAAAACTAAATGGACCAGTACAACCAGAGATATGTCGGTATGCCATTGGAAGATGGGACTCCCAGGTCGGAAGATGGCCAAAATGCTACTGGGGAGGAGCAGAGGATAAGTTCAACTAGCCCCAGATGTGATGACGCAGCTAGCTCAAAGCCAAAAGGAAGGCTAGCGGCCGACGGTACTGGAGGTGAACGACGAATCCGATGCTCTAAAGATCAACACACCATAGGAACCTGGAATGTAAGATCTATGAGCCAGGGCAAATTGGATGTTGTTATTGGAGAGATGTCAAGACTAAAGATAGACATTCTGGGGGTCAGCGAACTGAAGTGGACTGGAATGGGCCACTTCACATCAGATGACCACCAGATCTACTACTGCGGACAAGAGGAACATCGAAGAAATGGAGTAGCCTTCATAATTAATAAGAAATTCGCTAAAGCGGTGCTTGGATACAACCCAAAAAATGACAGAATGATCTCAATTCGAGTGCAAGGAAAGCCTTTCAACATTACAGTGATCCAAATATACGCCCCAACCACAGCTGCTGAAGAAGCAGAAGTAGATCAGTTCTATGAGGATCTGCAGGACCTACTGGATAATACACCAAAAAGAGACATTATTTTCATTACATGAGACTGGAATGCCAAGGTGGGAAGTCAAATGACAACTGGGATCACAGGCAAGCATGGTCTGGGAGAACAAAATGAAGCAGGGACGCAGGCTGATAGAATTTTGCCAGGAAAACTCGCTGTGTATAACGAATACTCTCTTCCAACAACCTAAAAGACGGCTTTACACATGGACCTCACCAGACGGTCAACACCGAAATCAGATTGACTACATCCTTTGCAACCAAAGGTGGCGGACATCCATCCAGTCGGTGAAAACAAGACCTGGGGCTGACTGTAGCTCAGATCACGAACTTCTTATTGCCAATTTAGAATAAAACTAAAGAGATCAGGGAAAATACACAGACCAGTTAGATATGATCTCACTAACATTCCTAGCGAATATACAGTGGAAGTGAAGAACAGATTTGAAGGACGAGATTTAGTAAACAGAGTCCCAGAAGAACTATGGACAGAAGTCCGAGACATTGTTCAGGAGGCGGCAACAAAGTACGTCCCAAAGAAAAAGAAAACCAAGAAGGCAAAATGGTTGTCTGCTGAGACACTGGAAGTAGCCCAAGAAAGGAGGAAAGCAAAAGGAAACAGGGATAAGGGGAGATATGCCCAGTTAAATGCGCAATTCCAGAGGTTAGCCAGAAGAGATAAGGAACTATTTTTAAATAAGCAATGCATGGAAGTGGAAGAAGACAACAGAATAGGAAGGACAAGAGACCTCTTCCAGAAAATTAGAAACATTGGAGGTAAATTTCAGGCAAAAATTGGTATGATAAGAAACAAAGATGGCAGGGACCTAACAGAAGCTGAAGAGATCAAGAGAAGGTGGCGAGACTATACAGAAGATTTGTATAGGAAGGATAATAATATTGAGGATAGTTTTGACGGTGTGGTGAATGAATTAGAACCAGACATCCTGAGGAGTGAGGTTGAATGGGCCTTAAGAAGCATTGCTAACAACAAGGCAGCAGGAGACGACGGGATCCCAGCTGAACTGTTTAAAATCTTAAAAGATGATGCTGTCAAGGTGATGCATGCCATATGCCAGCAAATATGGAAAACACAAGAATGGCCATCAGACTGGAAAAAATCAACTTATATCCCCATACCAAAAAAGGGAAATGCGAAAGACTGCTCAGACTTCCGTACAGTGGCCCTTATTTCTCATGCCAGTAAGGTAATGCTCAAGATCCTGCAAGGAAGACTCCAGCAATACATGGAGCGAGAGTTGCCAGATGTTCAAGCTGGGTTTAGAAAAGGTAGAGGAACGAGAGACCCAATTGCCAATATCCGCTGGATAATGGAGAAAGGCAGGGAGTTTCAGAAAAACATCTACTTCTGCTTCATTGACTATTCTAAAGCCTTTGCTGTGTGGATCATAATAAATTGTGGCAAGTTCTTAGTGGGATGGGCATCCCAAGCCACCTTGTCTCTCTCCTGAGGAATCTGTACAAGGACCAAGTAGCAACAGTCAGAACTGACCATGGAACAACAGACTGGTTCAAGATTGGGACAGGCGTACGGCAAGGCTGCATCCTCTCACCCAACCTTTTTAACTTGTATGCAGAACACATCATGCGATGTGCGGGGCTGGATGAATGCAAAGCTGGGGTGAAAATTGCTGGAAGAAACATTAACAACCTCAGATATGCAGATGACACCACTCTGATGGCCGAAAGCGAGCAGGAGCTGAGGAGCCTTCTAATCAAGGTGAAAGAAGAAAGCGCAAAAGCCGGGTTGCAGCTAAACGTCAAAAAAACCAAGATTATGGCAACAAGAATGATTGACAACTGGAAAATAGAGGGAGAAAACGTGGGGGCCGTGACAGACTTTGTATTTCTAGGTGCAAAGATGACTGCAGATGCAGACTGTGCCAGGAAATCAGAAGAAGCTTACTTCTTGGGAGGAGAGCAATGTCCAATCTCGATAAAATAGTAAAGAGTAGAGACATCAGACTGGCAACAAAGATCCGCCTAGTCAAAGCCATGGTATTCCCTGTAGTAACCTATGGATGTGAGAGCTGGACCTTAGGGACGGCTGAGCGAAGGAAGATAGATGCTTTTGAGCTGTGGTGTTGGAGGAAAGTTCTGAGAGTGCCTTGGACTGGAGAAGATCCAACCAGTCCATCCTCCAGGAAATAAAGCCCGACTGCTCATTGGAGGGAAGGATACTAGAGACAAAGTTGAAGTACTTTGGCCACATCATGAGGAGACAGGAAAGCCTAGAGAAGACAATTATGCTGGGGAAAGTGGAAGGCAAAAGGAAGAGGGGCCGACCAAGGGCAAGATGGATGGATGGCATCCTTGAAGTGACTGGACTGACCTTGAGGGAGCTGGGGGGTGGTAACGGCCGACAGGGAGCTCTGGCGTGGGCTGGTCCATGAGGTCACGAAGAGTCGGAGACGACTGAACGAATGAACAACAACAGGGCATGCAGACAATCCTAGATTTCTAGTAAAGTACATTTGGGACAAAGTGCTTTGGGGTTTCCTATTCTGGGAAGGCACACTGGAACAGCCACGTTTTCAAACTCCTCCTAAAGACTGCCAGCATCGGGGCATGCCTGATATCCTTGGGGAGTGAATTCCAGAGTCGAGGGGCCACCACGGAGAAGGCCCTGTCCCTTGTCCCCACCAATCGTGCTTGCAATGCAGGTGGGATCGCGAGCAGGGCCTCTCCGGAAGCGATCGTGTGGGTTCGTATACAGAAATGCGGTCACGCAGGTAGGTGGGTCCCAAACCGTTTAGGGCTTTGTAGGTAAGCACCAGCACCTTGAATTGGGACCGGAAAATGAACGGCAGCCAATGGAGCTCCTTAAACAGGAGGGTTGACCTCTCCCTGTAAAGAGCGCCAGTTAACAATCCAAAAGGTTGGTGAGTCAACTCCGGGGAGTGGGGTGAGCTCCCATCTGTCAGCTCCAGCTTCTTATGTGGGGACATGAGAAAGCATGCCACAGGATGGCAAAACATCCGGGCGTTCCCTGGGCAATGTCCTTGCAGACAGCCAGTTCTCTCACACCAGAAACAACTTGCAGTTTCTCAAGTGCTCCTGATATGGAAAAAAATGTCTAATTTGCAGTTCCAAAAAGTAATGTTACAAAACTCTAAGAACAGGGCCAGTCGTGGATTAAGACAGACACACAAAATATTAGCATACTGAGTTGCTGAGTAGTGCTGATAACACAGGCACTGCTTCCCCCGATTGACATACCCAGCTATAAAGGTACTGCTATACTTCCCCATCCTATTGCTACAAATGTCTTCTGGGATGAAAGCTGAGCTGTCTACCCACATCTAAAACAGAAGGAGTCAACTTCAATGTGGGTGGAGAGCCAGCTTTCACTCCTCACACCATTCCTCCAGTCCATCAGGATGTGCTGTCACTTTTGTTTAAGATTTGCTTTTTCCGCCATGTAGATAGTGATAATGAATCTGAACCATTGTCTCTTTGTGGTGCTTTGGCCATTTTTTCCAGTCAAAAAAAGGCAACATTGAGAAAGGGGGGAGGAGCATTAGGGTCTCTAGATCAGTAGTTCGCAACCTGTGGGTACCTAGGTGTTTTTGCCTACAACTCCCAGAAATCCCAACCAATTTACCAGCTGTCAGGATTTCTGGGAGTTGAAGGGCAAAACATCTGGGGATCCTCAGGTTGAGAACCACTGGTCTAGAGGCATGGGAGGCCATATGTGATCCTGATCTATTGCAGAGATCAGTAAGTGTAGCACTCTATTTTATTGGACTGAAATTCCTTTGATCCCTTACTTTCATGCTTGGTGGTGGAAGCTGCAGTCCAACAATATCTGGATACCTAGCTGGTAAAGAGTAAACTCTACTGCTTACTTCCAATTTCCAATGCATCCTAGTGATATGTGGAATGGCCTAGTCAATGTATTGGTTGTGAGTTTAGTTCTGTGTGGTAAGTTTTCATACCTTGAACTCTATTAAGACCTGCCATCCAAGCTGGAAGATATTGTTGACACTGCTGCAAAACTGGCTGGTCCCTTGTTGAAGGAATTGCATTGTGTGGTGGTAACACTTGGCCATAATGGAGTTTTGGTGTGTAGCCGGAATGAGAGTGGAACGATCTCTCTTCGCTCCAGAGCTTGCAACAAGGTAGGATCACAAGAAGGCAAGGTACACTGAGTGGGTGGCATATGAGAGCAACAGCTAAAGGGAGGTTGACAACTAGGAAACTAAATTATGAGGAAAATCTAAGCAAATTCTGCGATTGCTCATAAAATTACTCTTCTCTGGGATTTCTTCTTTAAAAGTATGACTTCTTAAGATATAGTTCCATGAATAATGTCATTTGTCACTTCCATGCCCTCTGATTTAATTCTTTCAGGGAATGCTTATAATGATCACTGCACTAGGGTTCTTTTTTTAAAACCAGGGTATGCTTTACAGAGATAGCCCTATGGTTTGGAGGACAAACTTTCTCCTCCTTTTTTGATTTCAGAAGAATTATATTGGGAGGAGAGCAAAAATAGTTAAGAGTAGAGACAACACACTGGTAACAAAGGTCCACATAGTTAAAGCAATGGTATTCCACATAGTAACCTATAGATGTGAGAGCTGGACCATAAGGAAGGATGACCGAAGGAAGAAAGACGCTTTTGAACTGTGGTGATGGAGGAAAATTCTGAGAGTGCCTTGGACCATGAGAAGATCAAACCAGTCCATTCTCCAGAAAATAAAACTCAACTGCTCACTGGAGGGAAGGATATTAGAGGCAAAGATGAAATACTTTGGCCACATAATGAACAGACAGGAAAGCTTAAAGAAGACAGTGATGCTGGGGAAAATAGAAGGATAGGGAAGAGGGGCTGACCAAGGGCTAGATGGAGGGATGTTATCCTTGAAGTGACTGGCTTGACTTTGAAGGAGCTGGGGATGGCAACCGCTGATGGGGAGCTGTGGCATAGGCTGGCCCATGAGGTCACAAACATTTGGAAGCAACTGAAGGAATAAACAATGAATTGTGCAGAAGTGTCATTTTCACTGATACACTGTGACACTCCAGTTAAAAATGTTAAAATGTTAAAGAGTGAAATGAGGAAAAGCAAGGAAGACTTAACACCAATGTTCCAATATATATCTCAGAATTTAAAAGGAACCCATTCAGTGTTGGGTGTTTCAGTATTAGTGATAGTTCAAATTTGTGACAATGATAATGTCTCTATAGGGTCCTACAAATGAGTTGTATGCCACTCATTACCCAGCAATCCCTGTTCCGGTGGAGGAGATCGTGAACGTCTCAGGAGCTGGTGACAGGTATGTTGTTAATTGTTTGTTGAGAGATTGCTACCATCACTGTGGCATCCTCATTCTTCCTGTGTTTTCTTTCTGCCACTTCGGTTGCTGGGACAACATAACAGTATAATGCATGTGCATGGCATTGCTAAGGAATAATTAGTCCAAATATTTATCTGGAGGTGATAAGAGACAGGGAGGTTATTGCAAATTGTCATTTTTTTCCAGAGCTTGTGTGAAAGGGGAAAAAATTGAGGCAATTTTAGTTTTGCTTCAAGTGTCTTGAGAAGGAGCAATTGTTAAGAGGCACCTGGCCCTCTTAGGAACAAGACCAGGCGTTGTAAGGGGAAACTTTATCCTCGCACTTAGATCCTCGCACTTGGAGTGTTAAGTCCTTCTTCATTGACTGGCTTCCCAATCCTATAGCAGCTTCAAGTGGCACAAGTAAGGACTTGTAGTTCTTCAACCAGCTATAAGTGTACAATTTCCATTTGTAAAGAACAGTACACCACTTTCAAAAATCCTGAGAATTATAGATTTCTGAAACTGTTAGTGACACTTTCCCTTTTATTTGTTGAATGGCCTCCAGATGTTGTGAGACTGTAATTTCTATTATCCCTTGCCATTGGCTATGCTTGCTAAGATTGATGGGAGGTGCAATCTGACTGTATCTGCACAGCTATATATGCCTCTCCCCACAGTATTATGATATAATTTTCAGAGGCTGGTAGCTATTTTGACACAGATTTATGATAGCACAGATGAAGTCCAAACTGTCCTAGAATCTAACAGGTAGGAAATCCAGAATAGTACTGAAATTGTGCTGCCATGCTGACAAAATTTAATAATTTAATAAAAGAGTGACCTTAAAAACCTGGGTTAACATATCCATAGGCCACATTATGCTGATGACATAGGCTGCTTGCCCTGGAGTAGAGCAGGAGCGGTGGTCATTTTAATAGCTACTTACTGTAAGTATAAGGCTTGTGAGGCTGGTGGCCATTTTTAATAGGGGCTTAGCACCTAAGCTCCCCATGTTGCTGCTGAATGTTGTTTGGGCTGAAAAAAGGAAAGGAAGGAGGAACACCTCCTTTTCTTTCTTGTGAGCACTATTTACCCCAATTCAACCAATGTGTTGTTGAAGGCTTTCATGGCCGGAATCACTGGATTGCTGTGAGTTTTCTGGGCTGAATGGTCATGTTCAGGAAGCATTTTTTCCTGATGTTTCACCCACATCTATTGCAGGCATCCTCACAACCTCTGGGGATGCCTGCCATATGAGGGCGAAACATCAGGAGAGAATGCTTCATGGCCATGCAGCCCATAAAACTCACTGCAAACCAATTCAACCAATGTCACTATAATGATACCCACCCACTGCCATTACATGCACATTCCCACTTATGTGTGGCTAAATTTTAACAATGTCCCTACGTTTTAATCTCAGTGTCTCTCCAGGTCATAGCAAATTTTCCTCCACATCCAAATTGCACTTGACTGATACACAGTTGTGACTTAAGACACAACTGTAGACAATACCCCATTCAATGTCAAGGAAAATCACATAAAAGGGAAAAGCTACCTCATCACAAAATTCAGAGGACTGGGTATCTGGTTTGCATCAGCCCAAGATTTTGTGTACGCACACATTCTACAGTTCTTCAAAAAGATGGTCATAGGGACTATATTGCTGTTCCCAATGTAGTAAATAAATTCATAAATGCACACATTGTATTGGGGTGAGATAGTGATATTTAGTTCTGTGTGTTTTCCTGTATGTTTAGGAATGAGGTACTTTGAGGTTTCTTCTCTAACTAAGCTGCAATGGCCTCTTCTCTCCAAAGCTTGATTGCTGGCATCATTGCAGGACTGCTTGCTGGGGAGGACACAGACAACTGTGTCCGGTTGGGTCTTCTTTCTGCCAGCCTCGCCCTTCGTTCCTATGAGCCTATTTCACCAGAGATCAGTAGTACCAAGGTGAACGTGGCAGAGCTAAAGGCCTGGACCTGGCCAGAGGCAAAGAGATGGAAGCTGTCTTAGACCTCCTGCTTCAAGATCTCCATGACACCACATCTGACTGCACAGGGGATAGGTACACACCACCCAGAGGTCCTTCCTGAAGCCTTTCTTTGAAATGGAGCAAAAGATTGTTAATCTCTCTACCTCAGCTCACCCTATTCTTTATTGCTATGTCTGTTTACTCCGTATTAAAAAATAAACTTTTTTTAAAAAAATCCCACACCTAAGGTCTTTACATCGACAAAGGATGCACATTCAGAAACAATACACTTCTTTAAATAAAGAAATCTGTCAGGAAGACCAAATATGTTCCCCAACTTGCATTGCACTAGTTTTGAAAAAATAATTTTTAAACTATTATTCCATAACTCTCTCAGCAAGCATGGCTATTGGCTAAGGGAATCCAGTAGCCAGCTGCAGTCCAGAATACAGGCAATCCCCATGTTACAAACAAATAAAGCTTTGGATTGCATTGGGAAGGATTAACATCCCTGTGATGTTTTTTTTTCTGTCTGTTCCCCTGTTCAGAAAATTTCACATCTCTTTCTGTCCCTGTGGTAATTGGATTTTGAAAAAGAAATGGCTTATTATGGAAACAAGGATTGGAGAGAAAGCTTCAGTGGAGACACTTTTTCCTCATGATAATTCAGGAGTGAATTTCACTACTCGGGGTTGATTTCCCTCACTTCCTGTTATCTGGCCCTCATTCTTAACCATGAGTCATTTGTAATTTGGGCAGTGCCTGTATCAGATACTGTAGGTAATATTTCAGAGGAAGGGACTGGCAAAACCATCCCTGAGTATGCCTCACCTAAGAATATCTATGAAATTCAAGGGGTGCTATAAATTGATGGGCCACTTGAAGGCATGCATGCATGCACATATGTGCGCACACACACATTTAATCCCTGATCATTGGCCATGTTGAATGGGATCAACAGGGATGGTGATCCCACATATCTTTAGGGCAGTGGTTCTCAACTTGTGGGTCCCCAGGTGTTTTGGCCTACAATGCCTAGAAATCCCAGCCAGTTTACCAGCTGTTAGGATTTCTGGGAGTTGAAGGCCAAAACATCTGGGGACCCACAAGCTGAGAACTGCTGCTCTAGGGCCTCTCCCTTTTAAAATACCATACCACGGGATGAAATAGTTGTTCCCTGTAGTGGAGAACCAGGTATTTGAAAGACCAAATAATACATCAGATTTCAAATGGTTGTGTTTGTAGTGATATTACATTATTATGTATAATGTCAAATAACTGTTTTCACTAAGGGATGTAAGTCTGCAGACGTTAAGATCACTCAAGTGGAGTACGTTCATTTCACAAATTAATGAAAAGGGAATACAGATTAGAGGATAGTTCTCATTCAGGCTGTATTTCTGCAAATTTTTACATTCTTTTTGGCTTAAAATTCTTCCAAAATACACATTTTAGAGGAAAATCCCAGTTTCTAAAATTATATATGTATTACAGAACTGCACTAGAACTGGATCAGTCCATCCTTAGCTGCCATCACTCAGGAGGGCTGATGTGCTGGAAAAATGCTACAAAAATCAGGAAAATGCCTCTATTAACTAAAAACACTTTGTCCAGCCCAGGCAAGCATTTTTACCAGCTCCCCAGTGCCTTGAAACACCTGCTTAGTCAAAGAGAAAGGAAAAGAAAAATGTTCCATTAGCCCAACAATGGCGAAAGATGGCATCACTGGGATGGGAGCATGTGGTTGCCCTTACAAAGAAATTGGGTGTTGCTAAAGAGGTGGGGGCATATTGGAAAAAGAAGAGAATTTTCCAAACAGGAGGGGCAAACATAGGAACTCAGATGCATAAAAGGGCTTTAACCAGCCATGCAAAAAAGACAGAGGTCAAATTCATACATGCATGCATGTGTGGCTGCTTTTGATTCCTAGCTCCAAAGCGACACATCTTTTTGCCTCGATAGACAGCAGGGAGAGCACATCAAGGCTGAAAGGACTATGAGAGGTTCAAGGCTGGCCACCCTGGCTGTACTTTCAATGCAGCTTTGTTTCCTGGCTCAGGCTGATGGGAGATTTGTTGGGAAAGGACTGGTTGCTGAGGACGACCCTCCAAAGGCTAGAAGAGCCAGGAGGACTTTTGACACATTCCCTGAAGGAGACAGAGAGGCCGAAACTGAAAAGCAGAATTCCGGCAGAATGCGGAAGGCAAAAAGAGAAGCCAAAGCTGGTGATGGAATTCATAGCAAAGTTTCAAACAAGCCATGGTCGGAAAGCAGAAAGCAGAAGGCAGGTGGCAGGGGGAAAATGCCCCAACTTCCTCCTCCAAAAACTAAAAACCAAGGGTTTCAGACCTATTTGGAAGGCCATGGGAAGTTTAATACTGACACGGTGAGTAAGTTCTCTTCCGCTTTTGCTCTTGTCCAATTGGTGTTGAAATCTTACCCTCAACAGATATCTGGTCCATTCTAAAATTATGAGCAAATGGTGACTAGATCTGGTGGGACAAATGGGTGACAGTTCCAAAATGTAAAATACTAAGATATAATACATGATATAGACATCTTCTCTTGCCATTAGTCTCCTCTGGAGGAGATAATATGATAGATTAGGTGAGGTAGAGATGAGCAAGCCTGACAATATGCCGCATCTAGGACTCCCTACTTCTCTGCAAGAATTGCACAGAGAGACTTCTGTACAGACTGATAACCAGTAAGCCGCGGGGTGCCACGGGGCTCCATCCTGAGTCTGGTGCTCTTGAATGTCTATAACAGTGGTTCTCAATCTTTTCTTGACCAGGAACCACATTGACTAGGGACCACTTGACCAGGGACCATTTGACCAGAGACCATCCTCCAACATTAGTATCAAAAGAGTTACAAATCAATTTTTGATTTGGTTTGGTGATTTGGGGTGCTGATTCAGAAAATGGCATTGAATAGACTACATTAGCTCTAGTTTCTGATACAGAATGTATGCCATCCAGTAGTTGCCATCTGCTCATTCACAGAAAACCACATTAATAACCATAGAGGGGATATTAATCTCAGTCTATCACCCTTGTAAATTGTGCAAATAAAGAGTACATGTTTTACAGTTTCGATTTTATCCTCCCCGCAAGGGCAAACTCTGTGCTTGACAAAAGGGTAACAGAACAGGTGGCCAAATTTCTCTTTGCAGAGGCAAAAAGCCACAAGTACTTCATGAATAACCTGTAAGTGCTAAAAGTGTAACAAAGAGTACTCAGGAGACTTTTTACTAATCGGCAGTCAGTTCCTGTTTTAGATTATAAAGACAGTCATTCAACGCTGATGCTTGCTTTCATTAATAATAAGCCAAATGTAATGTTTTTAATTACTTAAATGTTGTGTTCCATCCATCTACTTTCACTTGACTTAGCCGATGGTTTGTTGACCGAAATAAAAGCTACTGAACTGAACTAATATTTAATTATCTAGAGCAGCAGACATTAGTTTGGGTCTCGCGGCTCACCAGTGATCTATGGCCCACAGGTTGGGAACCACTGGTCTATAAGAAACCCTGAAGTTAAGTCAAAAGGGGGTTTAAAATGGGGTGCCCTCACTATGCTGGTGAACCAATATTTCTTTATCATCAAAGAGTTGGCTAAGGCTGTGTAAGTACTGGACCAGCGCCTGGATACTGTAATGAGATCAATAAAAATACAAATATGTATGGTGTTGATGGGAATGGGACATCACCACTGTGCGTGAGGAGGAGCCAGTCCTTCATGTCACTTCATTTGCCGAGGATCCTGGCTCTTTTTCATTTCTTTTGTGACACTGTTTTCTGTCACCCTCACAAAGAAGGTAGAGGAGATCAGTAACACATTGCAAACATGAAGAGGAAAAACTGGAACCCCGCAGATCTGCTTCCTCCTCCTCTTCCTGTGTTCTATGAGTCTCTGCTCCTCTGGAATTGCTTTACTTTTGCCTGGGCAAAACTGAGATTCACAGATGCAGGAAGAAGAGCCTGATCAGCCAGGGAAATGCCTTCTCTTACCTGCATGCCACGAGTCTCGCTCACTCAGGGAAAAAAACAAGCAGAACAAGAGACTCGTGGCATGCACATCTCTCAACCAACCATCCCATTCCCTAAGTTTGGGAGGTTTTTTCTTAAAATTCCATGTCAGGAACATCTTGAGAAACTGCAAGTCATTTCTAGTGTGAGAGAATTGGCCGTCTGCAAAAGCTGCGTAACTGAAGTTATTGCCTCCTAAGGAGTACAGATCTTTAGGAACACCCAAAAATATGTTATATCAAAATATTGACTGTAATGTGGTCTCCTTTTATTAAAAGTTACGCTAGACCTTGATTATCATAAAACCTTATAACTGAATAAATAGTAGAGTTAGCAGAGAAAAAATAAGGACTGGTATTATGATGGATTCTCCTTTCTTTTCTTGTCAGTATTCCTGTCCTGGGATTCGCTCAAAGGACTGCAGAAAACCTTCAGACTGTGATGGCTGCTTGGGCCTCTATACCTGCAAACTGCCTCGGGGGAAGTGCAACCTCAAAGCAGTTTCTCGGCAAACAGGTACCCCATTAATACAATAAAAACATATCTCCCAAATGTCCTGATTTGGCAAGGATAGTCCTGATTAATCATTCATCATCCAATTTTTTTTGGCTCCTTTAAAATGTCAGTTTTTCTTTCCACTTCCTTTGTCTTCACCTTACTTCCGTTACGGCAAACTGAGCTCACAACGTAAAGGTTGCACTCAATTAACTCATTAGAGGGAAGAGGAGAAAAGATAATGAGGTCCTGTCTTTCCCAGTTGGCTCAGGCAAAGTTCTGCAGCTTCCCTAGCTTGTGTTCATTATTAATTTTAACTTTTGTCATCAAGCACACGCTGGTGTTATCCAGCCTCATGTGCCTTGGTTGCCACCTATGAAATGCTAGTGAGTGCACATGAATGTGAGTCAATTATACTCTATGTCAGTGGTTCTCAACCTGTGGGTCCACAGATGTTTTGGTCTACAACTCCCAGAAATCTTAACTGCTGGTAAACTGGCTGGGCTTTCTAGGAGTTGTAGGCCAAAATACCCGGGCACCTATAGGTTGAGAACCACTGCTCTATGTATTCTAATAAAGACATATTATGGAAGTTCCTGGTAGAGCTCTAACCTTTACTGATATGGTAAACCTATGTTAAGACTACTCCCATTTCCAGTCTGTGAGTGTTTGTTGTTGTGAGCCTTCCAGTCACTTCTGGCATATGGCAACCTATCATGGGGCTTTCATAGCAAGATTTGTTCAGATGATGTTTGCCTTTGCTTTCCTCTGAGGCTAAAAGAGTATGATTAAGGTAACTCAATGGATTTCTATGGCCAAGCAGGGATTCAAATCCCGATCTTCACGTCACACTGGCTCTGTTATATTCCTCCTCATAAGACTAAAAAAACAAAACAATCCTGCACATGGAAAACCTCAAAGCAGATGGAAGACTATCATCTTAGCATTTCAACAACAATATAACTTTATGAAGGATCATTTTTGCATGTGATCTCACCTTTTGTACTACATTCTAAAAAGAGACTTTCCAGTTGCCAATAAGCAAACAGCCAATAAGCAAACAGCCATAGTTCTCAATAGTTCTCTCCAGTATTATCTTTCAAAAATAGGCAGTAGAGGGTGCTCTAGTTACGAAAAATGTTTTAGGACCAGTTTATGTATCCTCACTAATCTTATTTCTAAACCTACTTAGAATACTTTTGTAGCAGTATTATAATGCTGCTTTAAAAACATAACACAGAAAATTAGAAAGCATTCTGTTATTTCAATATTTTGGAACAGTGAGAAAGATGTTTTTGCTCTATTTAAAGATTGGTTGAAAATACATCAATGAGAAGATTGTACAGAATGCACACAGAACAAGTCAATATTGGAGCCACGGTGGTGCAGTGGGTAAAACTCTTGTGTCGGATGAACTGCTGACCTGAAGATCAGCAGTTCAAATCTGCAAGATGGGGTGAGCTCCCATTTGTCAGCTCCAGCTTCTCATGTGGGGACATGAGAGAAGGATGCTAAAAACATCCAAGTGTCCTTGGGCAATGTCCTTGCAGATGACCAATTCTTTCACAGCAGAAGTGACTTGCAGTTACACAGGTCACTTCTGACACACACACAAAACAAAGTTCAATGCTCCACTGCGAAAAAATTGCCTCCCCACATTTAAACAATTCCAACACTTTCAATCAATCAATCCTATCTCATTTTGAGCTGCTTTTAAAATGTCCCAGTTTTCATTAACTATCCCCAACTTCACACTTTGTTTTCAGCTTACTTCAATCACTGAAAAATGAGTTCAAAGCAGAAAAGCACTTGAGAGAAAAGGAAGAGTAGGAGTAGAATCTTGTTTTCTGTTAGCTCAGACAAAAACCAGCTTTTACAACCTTTCCTAGCTTGCAGCCTCCCTCGTTGTGTCATTGTGACCATAATCCAAACTTCTGTGGCCATACAGCTTGTTCTCTACATTTCCAAGCTGCCTGATGTCTAGGGGACCAGCAATTATTTTCCCCGCAGTATGCCAGGGACCAGCACCATACTTATCGCCACTGACTGCAATTGCTTCTTTTGTGGAAACTCATCAGGGGCTGGCAACCAATAGTTTGTGGACTTGCACCAGTCCCTCGGTCATAGCTTTGAGTAACATTGCTCTTAATCTTGGTGGGAAGTGTGTCATCCTCGAGATGATTGAGGGCAATTCAAGTGCTTCTCAGCCCTGTCTATATTGGCAAGGCTGTTGAGACCTATAGTCCAACAATCTCTGGAGGACTGCTTGATACCTTCCCTTCCTTGACATATTGCTGGACTCTAACTTCTATCAGATTTAGCCGCAATATGTATTGTTGAAGGCTTTCATGGCCGGAATGATTGTGTTGTTGTAGGTTTTTCAGGCTGTATGGCTATGTTCTAGAAGCATTCTCTCCTGAAGTTTCACGTGCATCTATGGCAGGCATCCTCGGAGGCTGTGACCTCACAACCTCTGAGGCTGCCCGCCATAGATGCAGGTGAAATTTCAGGAGAGAATGCTTCTAGAACATGGCCATACAGCCCAAAAAACCTACAACAACCTTAGCCATAATAGCCAGCAGTGAAATATGATAGGTGCTACAGTCTGGAAGGCCTTATATTATCTAGACCAGTGGCTCCCAACCTTTTTTTGAACAGGGCCCACTCGACCAGGGCCCATTTTGACCAGGGGCCACTTGACTAAGGCCCACTTTGACCAGATACCACTCTCCAACATTCCTACTAAAAGGGTCAGGGCTGGTTAGCTCTGCGGAAAGAAGCGAAAATAAAATAAAATAAAGCAGAAGGGGGTTTGCATACCGGATTTTCGTTCTCATGACTCACTGCTTGGTGCTGCTCACAGGTTGAGAACCGCTGATCTAGACCCATGGAAAATGGACTGGGATAAGTTACAGCTACTTGCTTATTATCACACCTATAATATTATACTGATATCTTGCTTCCTTTCTCCACAGCTAGCTTCTCCCAGAGTATCTGAAGCAGACTGCATTTGTACTGCACACCAATCTATCCAAATCATTCCGGGATGAATTTGTACATCTAGAGCTACAGTAGAGTATTGGGGGTGGGGTTGGGTGTGTGAGTGGGTGGGATATGTAAATTAACAGAAAATAAAACATGCCATTCGGTGGGAAAAGAAAAACATTTGTAAGCTCTTAATTTATTTAAATTGTTTCTATTTTTGAAGATGGACTCTCCGATGCATGGCTTACTACGCTTCTATTCAGGGAGGAACCCCTCTGCCCTGGAGGATGAAAAATGAGCAGAGAGTGAGCAGCTGTCATTGCATTTCCTGTACTCACCCAGGACCCTACAGCTGCTACTCCATAAGGGTCCAGACCAGAAATGTTTGCAATGTGACCCAGTTCTCGGAGCCCAGGCACAAAAATTGGGGGAAAAGGCTGTCCAGATCCCTGCCATGAAGGAACATACAAACAAAGCACTCTTAACAGATGGCCATCTAGCCTTTGCTTATACACCTTTGGAGAAGACACCACCACACTCCAAGGCAGAGTGTTGAACACCTCTTATTGTGTTATTTAGTCACTGAAATCTACAATTAAGATAGAGATGGATACTCTTCTGTTATGTTGCAAGGTTGCCATCTTGCAAATAACTGAGGCTAGGGGCTATTTGTGTGCTGGACGAGGCAACTAGTGGTAATCATCTTAAAATCTATGTCCCACTCTTTCAAGTGGTAATAGTTTCACTGGTGGGCAGTTCGTGGTTGCAGAGATCTTGTCTGTCTCTTCTTATAACTCTATTCTGTTTTTAGCACTACCAACATTTAAGAGAAGTTACTTTTCAATTTTCATCTTCAGGTTCAAGTCAATGCCTACAATGGGAAGAGAGTTATGAAACACAAGTCTGCCATTTAGCCATCAGTTACAGCCCTGCAGTATCTTGGAGGGACCTCAGGTCCCCAAACTTTACATTGTTTGATAATAGCTCTCTATAATTTCTGAGAATCATAGAATCAAAGAGTTGGAAGAGACCTCATGGGCCATCCAGTCCAACCCCCTGCCAAGAAGCAGGAATATTGCATTCAAATTACCCCTGACAGATGGCCATCCAGCCTCTGTTTAAAAGCTTCCAAAGAAGGAGCCTCCACCACACTCCGGGGCAGAGAGTTCCACTGCTGAACGGCTCTCACAGTCGGGAAGTTCTTCCTCATGTTCAGATGGAATCTCCTTTCTTGTAGTTTGAAGCCATTGTTCCGCATCCTAGTCTCCAGGGAAGCAGAAAACAAGCTTGCTCCCTCCTTCCTGTGGCTTCCTCTCACATATTTATACAGAAGAGATCCTGGAGCTTGTGCATGCACCAACCCATGCTCCATGATTCAGTAATCACAACTCTTTCTCTCCAACAATAACATACACAATATGTTATTGCTACATCACTCTAACAACCACCATGTCTGACTACACAGAGAAGCCATTGAAATCCACAAGGATGTAGACAATTTCAACAGAAAGGGGGAAAATGAACAAAATCTGGCTACCAGTATTTTAAAAAACTCTGAAATTAGGACAGTAAATAAAGAATAACAATTTGAAAACGGGGGAATTCCAGACATGAAACAATCAGGGCCAGCTAACACCTCCCAACAAAGGATTCCCTGGCAGGAAGCCACAAGGCTTTGCACTGCTAATCAAGGTGAATAAGTGCAACATTCACATTTGCCTCCAACAGACAAGAGTTCTTTCTCCCACCCTTGACCTTCCATAGACGTATACACCTCCGTATTGTCGAAGGCTTTCATGGCCGGAATCACTGGGTTGTTGTAGGTTTTTCGGGCTATATGGCCATGGTCTAGAGGCATTCTCTCCTGACATTTTGCCTGCATCTATAGCAAGCGTCCTTAGAGGACCTCACTACCTCTGAGGATGCTTGCCATAGATGAAGGCTAAATGTCAGGAGAGAATGCCTCTAGACCATGGCCATATAGCCCGAAAAAACCTACAACAACCCAGTATACACCTCCCTTGCTTAGTTTTCAACAGATTTCACAACCTCTGAGGATGCCTGCCATAGATGTGGGCGAAACATCAGGAGAGAATGCTTCTGAACATGGCCATATAGTCTGGAAAACTCACACCAACCCAGTGATTCCGGACATGAAAGCCTTTGGCAACACAATGTACACAATAATTCACAACTTACTTGTAACCAAATGCTTGGTTATTTACTATAAGAGATAGTTTTGCAGATGGCTGCAGCAGTTGAAGTATAGTCTCTTCACACATTCTGTTGTCCGTCAGGCATGAGAACAAGCCAGCCTTCACCTTTGCATGGAAGATGAATGGGCCAAATTGGTAACTGTTTCCCATATTTTGATCATCAGATGCTCAATGAACTGGCACGACTATCATTGAAAGCACGTTTATTTACCCTTGCCAGCTCTCTTTTTTCATGTAACTATTTCTCTTTGGGTTTTGGCCTGGATGCAGAAAGGATCTTCCATCTGCCCTTCTTTCATTCACCTCCCCATGCTTTTCTATAGATCTTTAGAAATATGAAGTAGGATTGCAAATAACTTGGAATGGATAAGACTAAGCGCATTCTCCTTTTTGTAATCACCCACTTTTAATTACATCACATCAGTCACTCAGCTTATTCTGAGGAAAGGTGGGCAGATATGCCCCAATTTCAAGGAAGGGCAGACAGTCTTCCATCCATATAGTGGTTGCTTGGTCAGGTAATAAAAGATTTCGTGGTCCTCACACCCCACTCCATTCCACTCCTTTCCCCCATTTACAGCTTCACTTTCTTAATTCCCATCTCCATGTGCTTTAAGTGTCCTCATAATATTCACCCATAATGTTCTCCATCCCCCTCCATTCTTGTCAGTCTCTAAGCATAGGTCACTTTAGCTTCCGTCTTGCACGTCTTTGCAACCACTTGGGAGAGGAACCGGCTCAAGTTTCATTGGCTAACAGTCCTCCTAACAACAATATAAATAAGAAACATGTAATAGCTAAGAAGAAAGAAACACTGGAAAGCATCAATGGCAAGAGTTCCAAGGGTGCCTTGTCCAGCGCATGTATCTTTGTACAGAAGGCCATAGACCTGTCTCAGCACCATCACCGTCTTCTCAATGATGTTCAGCAGGCCAACTTTTCACACAGGCACAATCCTTAATTACCCTGCTTCTTGGGTAGGGCTCTCCCCACCTTTGAAGCAAGCTGAAGGGGAAATAGGTCCAGGAGGTAGGGTAGATGTCCTTCCTGTGCTGATGAACGGTAAAGCAAAATGTCTTCTCCTCAACACTGGCACTCTGGGTTTTCATTTCTTGTGGAGAAATTTCATTCTGTTACCTGGTGGAGATTGATCAGGTGATAGATATGGGAGGAAAAGAGAGAAAAAAGTTTGATTCAATTAAGGCCTTTCCCAACCAGAAAACAACAATCAGCATGAACTGTAACCACAATCAAGCATTTGTAGTATTTATTTATTTATTTATTTAGAGCATTTCTACCCCACCCTTCTCAACCCCCTAGAAGGGACTCAGGGCGGCTTCCAACCGGCACATATTCGATGCCTACAATTCAACATAATAAAATATATAACAACAATAACTATAAATAATTAAAACATTCAATTAATACAATAACAACTAATAAAAAAGAAAAGCCAGTATGGTGGCCAACATCGTAGTAGTATTAGTAGTAGTAATGGGTTGTTGTGAGTTTTCTGGGCTGTATGGTCATGTTTCCAGAAGCACTGTCTCCTGACATTTCACCTGCATCTATGCAAGGCACCTTCAGAGGTTGTGACCTCACAACTTCTGAAGTTGCCTGCCTCAGATACAGGTGAAACATCAGGAGAGAATGCTTCTGGCACATGGCCATACAGCCCAGAAAACTCACAATAACCCATGAAAACCTTCGATGACAACAACAACAAGAACAACAACAACAACTTTATTCTTATACCCCACTACCGTCTCCCCAAAGGAACTTGGGGTGGCTTACGTATGGAACAGAAAGTCCAACAGACAAACAAGCAAAGCAATCCATTAAAACAAAAACACCACTAAAATAGGAACATCGTAAACACCAAGGGAGTTAGGCATAGGGTCAGGAGGGGAGAGGCTTTCTGGGGACGCAAGGCAAATTGTGCAACTTGCCCTTCATCACAGAGATCACATTGCACAAGGATGTAATGGGCCCTTTCTCTGGCAACAACTGTAAAAGTATATACAGTGGCGTAAAGGGAGGGGTTTCTGGCTTGATGGTGAGGACACATATCAGTACATGGGGATCAGACATCTGAAAAGTGTTATCAATACAGCTTTGAAAAGATATCAATAGCTTTGAAAAGTTCTATTTCACCCAAAAATTCTCAGAATCCCCAGTCTGTGGCCATGCTGGCTGAAGTATTTTGAGGATTATAATAAAAAAGTAAATTTTCCAGTTCTGATTATTAAAGATCAGCACAGTTACTGCCATAGCAGTGGCTAGGGCTGAATTGCTTACCTAAACCTTTCAGGAATTTATTGACCCCACTCTGTTCTTCACTGGGAAGAGTTTCCAGATACTCCTGGGCACGTACCTCAAATAAACCTATAGAGAGGGGTAAACAAAGAAAACGGTAGGTTGCATACCTGTGACCATCTTTCTTCGAGTGGTGCTCTGTGAATTCACACATGTGGAGAGTCAAAAAGGTTAGCCTGTGCCTTCTTAGTTCCAATTTCAGTTATTAGCTAGGGATCACTTAAATTCTAAACTGAGAAAAAGGGAAATCCTTATAATTTATATTGAATAGTTCAGAGGAAATAATCCTACAGCACATCAGATTTTTATTTATTTTTTTGCAGCTGTGGCAAAGGCCAAATCTTTCCTCTGCACCAAGTCACTTTAACGCTTTCCAAACCAAAATGCCATCAGTTTACTTCTTGTTACCAAGATCTGGTTTCTCACCCTGATCTGTGATATATTGACTATATGTAGGGACTAGGAACAATGGTATTCTCAAGTTGAGCACTGTGTAAATAATCATTTTGGAGGTAAATAACCAGTAGGTGACTTTTTATCCAGGGTTTTAGGATCTTACAATAGAGCCCTTCTGTGAACATCTATAGATCAGTCTACCTCTCCTAGCCTATTTCAGTACATCCTATAGACGAGGGGTCCCCAAACTAAGGCCCATAGACCGCATGCGCCTCCCACCCTAAACTTTAAACTTAGGGACACCCTAAATCTGAAAAAAATGAAGGCACCCAACAGGAACAATCCTAATTAATTTGGCTATCTTATCATTCAAAAGCAGGCCCACACTTCTCATTGAAATACTGGTAAATTTATGTTGGTCAAAATTGCTCTTCACTTTGAATATTGTATTGTTCCTACATGGGGTTTTTTTTTGCACTACAAATAAAATATGTGCTGTGTGCCTAGAAATTTATTCATTTTTTCCCCCAAATTATAGTCCAGACCCCAAAAAGTCTGAGGAGCAATGAATTGACCCTCTGTTTCAAAAGTTTGAGGACCCCTGATATAGAGGCATCACTATTTCAACATCAAGACCATTTCCCCTTTCATATTGCACACCTACTATTTAAAATCTTGCCTGGTGAAGAGTTCTTCACGTGTTGAGAGCTTACATTCATTCACATACAGTTTTGTAGAGTTTAATCGAAGTTGTATGCCAATATTAACACTACAACTCTGCGATCTATCATCCTTCTCCTCACCTTTGGTTCCCTGTTTCCTCATCTCTCGTTCCTGAATGAAGCCTCCAAACATCTGAGTTTCCATAAAGACCTCCAGAAAACGTCGAAGGCTCTTTGATGAGACGGACTTCCGGAAGGCCTCCCGTTGGAGGCTCCTTTCTTCCCGCTCCGTGGAGGTCATGAAGAGGGAATAGTGCCCCACGATCTCCACAAAGAAGCGGACAAAAGCTTCAGACACCACTTCATTCAAGGGGCTGGACTCTGGGGAAGCTTTGGCAACAAGGGGGAAGAAGAAGAATGAATCAAAGGTAGCCCAGAACTATCTTAGTGGGTGGCCTCTAATAGGTCTAGACATCTGAAAAGGTGAACAACTGTGACATGCTTAACGAGTATTTTCTGTCCTGGGACTACATGGTCTTTGTAAAAGGGGAAGAAAAAGAGAAACCCAGAGAGTTAAGGTGTGGAAATGTGTTTAGAGCAGACATGGGCAAACTTTGGTTCTCCAGATGTTTTGGAGTCCAAAACCTTGAGGGCCAAAGTTTGCCCCATGCCTGCTCTAGAGCCTCACTCTGCCTACCAATGATCTAATGATCTAGAGAACCACAGCTCTATAGCACAAGCAGTTTTGAATGCTGTCAATATCAACAGAACTGGGAGAGATCCCTGTCTGAAAGAGCAAGTACAAGGCAGTGTAAAATGAGGGGATGCAATGTGGTGCCCACCAAAATTTCTAGATTACTTCTCATAATCAATGACTACTCAGCCCAACAAAAAAAAAAAACATTCTTGGTATCTTGGCTTTTAGGCCTGGTACTAGGGTTATTTGGGGTGCTAATTCAGAAAATTACACTGGATAGACTTCATCAGCTCTAGTTTCTTAGCTATGGTTATCATGATTTTCTATGGGCGAGCAGATGGTGACTGATAGATGGCATATGGTCTGTATCTCAAAAACTAGAGTTGATAGGAGAAAACTGGTGCTATTTTTGGAATCAACAAGTCAAATATACCCAGAATCAGGACTAACATTTAAGGCAACAAAATGTGTGTTGACCAATGTTATCAGACCTGCCAGCTCTTGCTCATAACAGTTGGGAGTCCAGAACAACTGGAGTGTGCCATGTTGGTATAAATGCTCTGAATTAAGAGACAAAACAGACAGCTCATGAAACAGTAAGGTGAGAAAACTGAAAACTTACCTTGTTTGCCTTTGAGAATGCCCTCCTCCTTGTCATTTGCCAGCTCATTTCTCTGCTCCAGGATATGTTCCAGTGCTCCTTGCAACTTCCGAGGCAAAATGAAGTCTTCATCTTCCATCTTTTTTTATTTTAAAAAAGTACATTCTGTCAGTATAGGCATGGGCAACCCTGCGATAACACCTGCAATACTAAGAATCTGCTTTTTGCTGCTAAGGGCTGGTGAGCAAATTATGGTTGATGGACAGATGGACAGAGGATGATTCATAAGATCTTTACAAAAGTGCAACGATACAGTAGAAGCCAGCAAGATTGTGACGAGAACTGCCAGATATGAGTAGCTCTTGTCACAAAGCTTTAAAACACTGGATTCAGTCTATGGCCATAACATTTGAAACAACACATATTGGAATATACATTGGAAGAAAGAGGAACTAAGAGTGTAGGGAACATAACATTAAATGATGGAACTCACTCATCCTCAAGACTGCCCTTGTGTTCTTTAATAAAGAAATGCTAATCAAGATGGTGTCTGTGTGTGCATTTGGAGGAATTACTACCAGAGCTTTGGAGGGACTATAATCCCTTGTCTAGGCATGCAAATGGAATTAAATAATATCAGAACTGGGTTGTGTGTTTTCTGGGCTGTATGGCCATGTTCCAGAAGCATTCTCTCCTTACGTTTTGCCTGCATCTATGGCAGGCATCCTCAGAGGTTGTGAAGTCAGGAATGTGAGTAGATGCCCTTCTCCATTCATTCTCAAACTGAAGATGCCATGTACAGTGCTATGAACTGTGTTGTATAAAAGGGCCCCTCTATGCTCAGATGGCTTTCAGCACAACAGAACTTCCCAACTTTCCATTCTGTCTGCACAAATGGAAAAAACCTATAGAAAAACCAGTTGTTCTTACCTGCCTGAGAAACCGGTTATTAACCAGGTCAACTACAAGGACCTGCATCAGAGAAACAGAAAGAGTGAGACTAGTATTAGATCCTTGGAGAAATGAATGCACTGCGATGTATGCTGTTTTCAGAGGGAGAAGCCCTGCCTTGCCCCACCTAATCCCACAGAGCCACAAGGAGATATGAAACCTGGCCTAAACCCAAAGCGGTTTTCGGATATTCTCCACAAAACCACAGAATGACAACATAAACACAAGGAAGCCGTTTCTCCGCATTAGCCTCTTCTTACACACACTTTCCTTTCCTTCAAGGAAGAAACCACAGCGTTCTTCCACAAAAGGGGAAAGGAGCAACTGGCTGAATGAAATGGGAGGCAGCTGCCTATGCTGTGCTTATCTGGCTCATGTTAAAGCACTACATGGAACTTTCTGCAAATTAAGAGGCAAACGAGTGCTCTGGGACTAAAAATGGAGACTTTTTTGGTGTTTGAGTATAACAACCATTTCCAAATGTTGCTCTTCTATAGTGCCACCTTTTTTTCAGCAGGTTCACCAGAATGATCTTATGCTGGAGAATATCTTGTGTAACTATGATCAGTGCATGCCAGATTTGCCCATTTTATCATTTGCCATTCTCAACAGTGCCAAAAGTCTGCCTGCTGCCATCTCACTGTATGGATAGAAATAGTATGGAACTTCAGGTCCCAGACTGATATCTGGCCTCCCTAATCCTGATTCCAGACATCCCTGAAACATCATAATTTTGGAGTGGGGAACAGTTGAATGTTAAGGTTTTGTGTGGGTTTTTCCCATTCCAAAAGGCTGAAATGCCTTCCCTAAGGATTAGTCACTGGCAGTAAGAGATTTATTCTGTCATACACTGGCATTTTGAGTCCTATCTTTTTTCCTGTCATCCTACTCACTACAAGAATACACCTTCCATGTCAAAATAAACTTTGGCTGAAATTAAACACTGGCTTTGGGCTGAGAGAACACAATACTCATACATCTTGTAGACCAGTGGTTCCCAAGAACTAAAACATGGTCCATGGCCTCACCATTACTACACTGTTGCAACGACAGCAAATGGTCTCACAAAAAACTCTTATAGTGCCGAGGCTTATTAAATAAGGTTTTCCACGGGCAAGCAAACAGTGATTACCAAATGGCATATGTTCTGCATCAGAAACTAAAGTTGATATGGTCCATCCAATGCATTTTTCTGAATCAGCACCCCAAATAACCAAACTGAATCTGTAGCTGACCAAAATCTGATTTGTAACCTTTTTGGTACTAATGTTGGATGATGGTTCCTGGTCAAGTGGTCCTGGTCAAAAAAAGGTTGGGAACCACTATTGTAGACACTAGTGGTGTATAATTTTCATGTCAGTGATCAATCAATCTCCTCCAGGTTTTATTAAAAGTTTTAAGGGAATTGTCAATAGGTCGTGAGCCTATTTTAGTGATAGAGTCTAGACTCTTTCAAAGCATATACTAAAACCTGGAGCTGATTCATCATTTCATTGATGTGAAAGCTATCAACCATCACTGGAAATATATTTCTGTGCATGTTGATTTTGTCCATCAAAGCAGTTAGAGGTAGCTGCAGTGAGATCTTATCTAATTCAGTTTCTTAAAGGGTTTGAACTGGACGGCAGTTGTAGTACCTTCCAGCTCTATGATCCTGACACTTGGTATAATATACATCCTTGGCACTGGTTGACTTCCATGTCAAGGTTACTGCGAATCCATTCTGAGTTTTGTTTCCCTTAAATTATATTATCCTATCCTCAAAAATTGGATAAGTGTCTTGTATAGCATATCTAAGGTCTGGAATGAAGTCCAGAAAAGAACTAGATCATCATGGTTGCCTACCATGATGATCTAGTCATCCCTCTAGATATAAAATTGTGCCGCCCTTGGGACCAACACAATCCATCAGTTCACTCTACCTTTCCAGCGCCCTGGTCTCACCTCTTCCACTGGTAGTTCCTTGAGGCGAGGTAGTGAACTGGAGAGCAGGCCAATCAAAAAGGGTGTTGGTGAACACACAATGTCAATCATAGACGGGGGAAGCACAGGGATGTAGGTGTGTTGCCATGTAAAGGGGTAAAGGAGGGCCACCATGGCATGGCAGCATTTTGACAAGGTGCTGTAAAGAAAAAACAAATGAAGTCATCCAGCATGAAGTTCACAAGGGTAACCAGTCACAATGAAACACAATTGTTCTCAAGAAATTATAGGGCCTGACACAACAACACTGACCAGGGTTTAACCTAAAACACTGTCCTTCTTCTCCAAGCATGTTTTGGTTTAAAACAGTGGTTCTCAACCTGTGGGTCCTCAGGTGTTTTGGCTTACAACTCCCAAAAATCCCAGCCAGTTTACCAGCTGTTAGGATTTCTGGGAGTTGAAGGCCAAAACATCTGGGGACCCACAGGTTGAGAACCACTGGTTTAAAAAGAGAAGTCAACTATATAGTCTTCATGAATGTATATAAAGAGAGGAGATGAAAAACTGTAAACACCAACTATGGAATGTTCAGAAACCAAAGTATGACTTTTACTGAAGTTCCACGGGTGCCAAGAAAAGAGAAAAATATTCAGAAATGGTGGTTGTTGATGCATTCCTTCGAGTTGTTTTAGGTTTATAGCTACCTTAAGGCAACTTCATCACAGGGATTCTTGGCAAGATTTCTTCAAAGGGGTTTGTCTTTGCTATCCTCTGAAACTGAGAGTGTATGACTTGGCCAAGGTTTCCAGAATGGGGATTTGTGAATCCTGGTCTACTTCAATGTCCAAACCACTGCCCCACACTGGCTCTGTTGCATAATTCCTTGAAATATCCAACACAGAGTTATTTGTATGTTTTGATAAACAAACAAGAAAGCAAACTTACCTTGCATAGTTAAGAGACTGATTTCTCTTTGGGTATATCAAAGAGAAACCAGTCTTTCATGTTTCAGGAACAATTTTGCATAGAACAACGCTATCTTCACCCACTGTGGTAAAGCAGGATGGAGAGCTTGGAGACATTGCTTATTTGGATTATAATTCTAAAAATTCCATGGCCAGAGGCTGGTGGAGTCATGGGATCAAGGCAGGTTCTCAGCTTTCACGCTGCTACCTCTTAAATATCTTAATACCGCCATAGTGTGTTTTTTTTTCATTCTTGCTAAGTCACTTGCCATGCTGGTTGGGATATTCTGTGAACTATAGTTCCCAAAAGTAACTTTCCCAAGCCCTGATAGTATCGTAACACCATAACAGAATAAAAAAGCACCCACCAGTTCAAGTGGCTAAAATACATATCTAAGATTTCTCAAAACTTCACCATGAAGCTCAAGTTACTTTTATGCTTATTTTCTCTTAAATTAAAGGACTCATGGGATTAATGGAGACTCTCAGTTTTCATATTGCTGCCTCTTAAATATGGCAAGGCATGGAGCAATCCCAACATTCCTCTTATTTTTCCTGCTAGCTAAGCAGTTTTGCTAGAAAAGCTAAGAATACCCATCTGTTGAATTCAGTGATAGTTGGTAGTTCCCATGTCAGTGAATACACTCAGGGTTGTATGCCAAACCTTAAAGGAGCTATCCAAGATGCTGGAATTATTCCAAAAATTCCTTTAAAGTTTGATCAACAAGTCAGATAAGATTATTCACTAAATAAACGTGGAAGCCACCTATTAGCAATGGCTAGGCACAAGGACAAATGAAAAGGACCATGCACGTACATGTGCACAGGCATGCAGGAACACATACACATGGAGGCAAAATGTAGAAAACATAGACAAGGATGCATACAGACAGTAAGTTTTCTTGTTTAGCATAGTGCTCTCTCATGCAATGAGCAGCCTGAGTTGCCAGTCGGCCATCCTCTCAAGACTGTTCTGCTCCCGATGGGTATCTCTGCTAGTTCAAATGGAATAGCAGGATCAGGCCAGACAGCACAGGAACCTGGTGTAAAAACAGATACACCACCTCAAATCCTCTCCATCCTAACACCATACATGCTAACAAGGGTAGCCCTGCCATTAGGTAAACAGAAAAACTGCATCAGGGAACAGATTTTGGAAGTCATGAAACACCAGAACATTGTGAGTAATTTCATTTATTTGTTGTCAAAGACTTTCATGGCTGGAATCACTGGGTTGCTGTGAGTTTTCTGGGCTGTATGGCCATGTTCCAGAAGCATTCTTCCTTGACGTTTCACCCACATCTATGGCAGATTTGAGGACTCACAATCTCTGAGGATGCCTGCCATAGATATGGGCAAAACATCAGGAGAGAATGCTTCTGGAACATGGCCATATAGCCAATGTCAATTATTGTTATTGTATTACAGTCCCAAGGATGCAACGGTAGGATTTTCTGCCTCCTCTACCAAAGTAACCATAAAAAACCCCCAACAATACCAGGAAAGCACTGCAAACTGAACATCAAACACAAAATATTTAGCATGCAACTGCCAACTTAACCCTCTGGACATCTGAAGTTCATCTCACTACAGTGTCCTGGATGTAAATATGTTTTAGCAATCTTATTAAATAGCATTTGTTGCAGTCTCAAAGTTTGGAAAAGTGACATTGAGTGTGTTTGGAAGGGGGAAGAGATTATCAAAAATTCAAGGATTATGTAGGCAGTGGTTAGATGTTTAGAATGTGAGTGTGTTCAGAGATAAAATGAATTGAGGAGCTCTAGTTCCATAAATATCAAAAAACAATCCAATGGTGTCTCTTCCTTTGTAAAAGTAGATCAGCAAACCATTAAGGGAGAACTCTGCATGTTATCCAAATCTCACATTTTAGTTAAAAGAGGTCAAGCAAGCCAAGTTTCATCAACCAATGCTTATTTAAATCTGTCTTACGAATTATAGTTTGCTTGGAAACAGTGGATCATGTTCCTAGATTCAGATACAGCATAGAGACTGCCTTCCTGTTTTGGTCACCTATTCCGTGACTCCTTCCTTCATCCTGCTCCAAACATGACAGTGATGGTGGTGGGACAGAGAAAGCTTTCATAGATATTAAGAGTTGCTCAGGCTTCGTACACATGATGTACATATGAACTCTGTGTACACGGAGTAGTGGGAGACGAAAGCCAAGAGCTGTAATAGACAAGATTCCAGAAGACATGCTTAGCTGACTAAGGAAAAGGTAAAGGTTTTCCCCTGACAGCAAGTCCAGTCGTGTCCGACTCTGGGGGTTGGTGCTCATCTCCATTTCTAAGCCAAAGAGCTGGCATTGTCCATAGACATCTCCAAGGTTATGTGGCCGGCATGACTGCATGGAGCACCATTACCTTCCCGCCGGAGTGGTACCTATTGATCTACTCACATTTGCATGTTTTTGAACTGCTAGGTTGGCAGGAGCGGGGCCTAACAGTGAGAGCTCACCCGAACTGCCAAACCGCCAACCTTTGGGTCAGCAAGTTCAGTATCTCAGTGATTTAACCCACTGCACCACCAGGGGTTCCATTAAGCTGACTAAACAGCTTAATTAAAATTCAGCAGCGTGATCCTGACACCAAGGATATGGTAGTCACATACATTTAACATTTGCCAAATGGTTCCCTTCCTCCCAAGTGAAGGGAGACATGCATGGTCTCATATTTGATCAAACTTCTGCCACATCCCACCTAGGATGCATTCCTATAACAAAACGTAGAGGGTGGGAATAGTGTCAGACTTGCCTCATACACCTGTGTGGCATTTTGACTTCCTAAGAATAATAGCATTTTCATACAATGACAAACAGATGAGATTGCAGCATCTCTGTGGCGAGCCAGTAAGTTGTCGAAAGATGAGATGTGGTTCTCATCCGAATGAAACCTAATACAGGTAGGCGGAGACACGTCTCTTTCCTGCAAGAGTCTGAAGAAAGGTGCAGCCAGAAAATGTTCATTTTTGTAGCAATAGTAGAATATATAATATGGGAGTGGAAATGTGGAAGAATATTGTCAAAAGCCCTGGTAAGTCATGAGCTATATAGGTCTGCAAATTCCTCTGAGCATCTAGAGAGGCATGTGTGTTACTGAACTGTACATAACGTCATTTAGTTTTACAAGCCAGGTCCTTGGAAGGAGGAGGGGAAGAGATAATAAAGTGCAGCCTAAAGGAATCATATGGCCAGGAAACCACTCACAGCTGGCTTGAGTTAAGCACCATAAGGGAATTTATACAGAATAGGAGAGAGAAGGCAGGAAAGAAAATACTCTAGGCTGGCCAAAACTATACATGGGAGAAGGAAAGGGTACTTTGCTGACTATGGACTATTTCTTAAAGGTGTACTTATGTTCACCACCCAATCTTTAGTTTCCTCGGTATCTTTAAATTCTCTTTTCACCTTACAAACCGTCTAGAACCTTAAGATCATCTAGGGAGGCCCTGCTCTTAGTCCCTCCGCCATCGCAGTCGCGGTTGGTGGGGATGAGAGACAGGGCCTTCTCCATGGTGGCCCCTTGGCTGTGGAACTCCCTCCCCAATGAGGTTGGATCTGCCCCCTCCCTCCTGACCTTCTGGAAGAAGCTTAAGACCTGGTAATAATAATAATAATAATAATAATAATAATAATAATAATAATCTTTATTTATACCCCGCTACCATCTCCCCAAAGGAGACTCAGGGCGGCTTACATGAGGCCAAGCCCGATATTACAGATACAATAAAATGAATACAAAGCAGCAAAAATAACAACACAATAAAATAAGGCAATAACATAAGTGAACATAAGAACAAAACAGAGCAGCGAAGATACAGTAACAAACACACACAATGGGTGGTCCAAATGTACATAAAGTGATAAAACCCTGGATGAGATGAGATAGTTATGGGAGCAGGCATTCACAGAATAGTTTGTTTATCGGGAAAAACAAGATTTATTGGACTGGACTTGGACTGCTTTGGATTTTAATTCTGGTGATTCTAATTTGGCAAGCGGGTTCTGAATGTATATTTCGAATTATTTTAATTTTGTGGATGTATTTATTACGTGTTTTATATTATGTTTGGCATCGAATTGTTGCCTGTTTGGAAGCCGTTCTGAGTCCCTCCGCAGAGGTCAAGAAGGCCTCTAAATGTTTTAAATAAATAAATAAATTTTCCAAAATGGGTTCTAGTCTTCAAGGCGGAAACATTTTGAAGACAAGTACGT